TTCCCATGACCATTGTTCCTAAAATATACATACTTGTGCACATTCATCTGCTCATACATCTCTTAGCGCCAGAGCCAAGTCCCTTTTGTTGGCGAGGTAGTTAACATCGGTAATCCTTCTCTACCCTCCGTCCAAACTGGTACTTTGCTCAATCAACTCATGAAGGCCTGTTCACTCTACCTTCATACCGTTCACTAATACTTGTGCGTGAAACGTGTCATTGAGTCCGGGGCAGAACTTAAAATACAAACGTTTGGCAAAACCTCAAGCTTGTTCTTATCTTTCGACAACCTTGATTTGATGTGAGCTATAAACAACGGGAAAAAAAAAATGGACAACGGGTAGAGCGAATTAGCACACAAGTATTAGAAATATGAACATAAAACGACTTACTTTCCGAAATGTAATTGCCACACCAGATCCGAGGTGAAAATATCCCACTATTTGTGTAAAAAAATTAAAACATTCACTTTTTCTACCACCTCTACTCCTACAAACTGCTAATCTCCTCCGCTATGCGCACTACGGCCTCCTTAAATCCCCTGCTAGCATACCTCCACGTCTTTCCATTGACCAAATCACCATAGCCACACACACTCAATGTTTGTCCCTTTCGCAAGAAAACCACCAATGTTGTTCACCTACGACTCAAATGGTAAGTCATACCCTCGCTTTTTTTCCATCATGGATATTTGAGTGACAAAGTACCGGTATGTTGAAAATGTTGACGATACCGAATGACCGTTTAATACTAATGTCCAATGAAAATGTGTCACGATGACTTTATTTGGGAGTGTTTTAAACCCGACACAGTAAAGGAATCACAGCAACTCGTGATAAAATGGCACTTGGCTGATAGAGTGCTCCGGTGCAATCTTGAGTGGTGCACGGCATGTGAGGAGCAGGCTAGGGGAAGCTGGGAGGAGAGAGTAGCTGGACCGTGATGTGAAAGTCCATATAAGGCTGCAGGCGAGGAAATTACCAGAAAGGAACTGATGTAAGAGCAGAACATTTGAGTCACACCGTGACTCTCTTGAGAAACTTAAGAACTTGAGTGAAGATGGCAGAGAGGCGCAACTTTTGGAATCATTGCGATTCATCAAGACTGAGACAATTGACTAAAACGTGTTTTTTTTTTTTTTTTTTTTACTGCCGCTACAGTTCTCCAAATACAACTTTCACTTGGCAAAAACTGAACTTTGTTGCCAAGTCAGATTATCTCGCTTCCGTCTTTTCTGTATTTTGCCTCCCCTGGTTTCCAAATAACCTTACCGAGGCACAAGTTAACAGCAATCTCTGATCATGGGACGTACTAAACTTTTCATCGCGAAAGCAGAAAGCATTGTTCCTCAGTTATTCCTGCCATCATTTATGGCCAGTGACCTTCCTCTCGATCAGATATTTGTCCCCTTTCAGTTTCCGTTTTTTTTTCCTAACACTAAAGCAGAACATCGAAACAATAAAGCAGCATTGAACCACGTATTGTCTTATTGCTTGTAAACACATTGTAAAAGCGTCTTTTGAGCTTCTCCTGGCCTGTGAAGCCTGTGCAAACAGGGGACCACGCCACCGTTGTTGAGGCTAACCGTATTCGAGCTGCACTACTCAGACAATTGGCACATAGACGGTCACCTAAGTAACAGACTAAATATATTTCTAAAAAGCAGTTAACACATTCTGGGCTTTGAACAAGCCTCATATTTAAATTCAATGTACATACCTATATATTGGGCATTCTAAAATAATAATTATTAAGTTCTGGTTGTTCCTCTCACAAACCCAACAGAGTTTATTTCAATTCACGTCGTTATTTCTTCAGACTTTGCCATATTAAATCGCTCAATGTGACAGTGGTGTTGATGTCGCGATACATTTTGTTTCCTTGTTTGTGGTGTTGATGTCGCGATACATTTTGTTTCCTTGTAATGTAATGACTTGAAATCTCATATCTTTCCAAATTTTTTCTCCTGATATTGTAACTTTATCTTAGTAATAATATTAAATTGTATTTGTCATAATATTTCAAGTTGTTTTGTAGTTTTATGGCCCTACTTATTCATACCGGTGCATCTTATGTCCCGCTGCTTTTAATAGCTGAAATCCTCACTTATAGAAGTGATGATAACCGTTAAGCGCAAACGCCAATTGAAACAAATTAACTTAAAAAGGCAGAGCCCATCAAAAGTGTACTCTATTTATATTGGGTGCAAGATAAAATATATTGAGTGCAGCTGACACCATTCCGTGTGGATGACAAAGCACCAGTTCCAGTTTTATGTCTTTGAAAACGACTCGTGTGAATGCATTTTACTTTTTGCCTTCATTAATGCTGTTGATATCAAAGAGGGCGGGGCTGCTTAATCACTTTGCAGTTATTTTTTTTCCAAGGAACCTGCTTAAAACTCCAATTAAACCTTGCATCTACAAAACCATTATTTTTCTGAAAATTAAGGTCATATTTTTGAGTTATTCAAAACTGTATTGTTGAAGTTCTTTCGTGAACTTCAACTTCCAAAAAATGACAGAGCCAAGTGGGGAGTGACACTGACAAAATTTGTGATTTGTGAAAAAAAAAAGTTACATTTTCCAATAGGGGGCTTCCGCCCGACAGTTACAAAGCGCACCGCTAACTGCCATAAAACTTTTTTTTAATGTTTCTGCCTAAATATTTATGGCCTGTTTAATAGAAAGGTCCTTCACCAAATGAAAAGTAATTAGATTTAAATATTTATCCATCGCCTCAAGCTAGGAATGCTACATGCATGCAGGCATGTCAGATTTATCTGATGAGACAGTATGTCACAATCATCAGAGCTTTTAATTGGCCCAAAGGGAGGAGTAATTGCTTTATGTTGTTGCTTTATTGGCACTCAGGGCCCTACGTGTACATCTGACATATCCGTTTACTGCAGATTTTATGGACCCCTGTTTAAAGTGAATTGTCTGTTTCAACTTAAAGTTGGTAACCAAAACGCCATTGATAAACAAAGATGAGCATTTAAACATTTATAATGTAGAATCAGCAACACAAGTCATGGGTAACAATTTTACTGTCCCACCAGTGTGCAAGATTTTTATTTCATGTTTTAGCTCATATACATCAAAACGTGCCAACAGCTCAGAAACATGAGCTTTATGCGGTTTGAATTAAACAAAGAGTGTGTGTGCTACCCCCCCATTCCCCCAACAATGAGAGGAGGGGTCCTCTTCATTGTTCCCAGGTATGCCAAGCTAAAACGGTTGTTAAAGTTAATAAAATATGACGTCACCCCAAAAACTTATAAAAACATCTATTCATGCAGTAAGAGCCCGGGGCTGAAGGACACACAGCTGGGCCGGCTTGACAGCTCCAATCTCGGTTTCTTAACCCGCTAGCTAGCTCTGGCTGGATGTGGAGGCCTCCGGAAACACGAACTCTATGGCGACCGGGGAGGGGTTGGGGGAACTGGAGGGCACTCTCCCAGGACAAAGCCACACTGGGACGGGATCCTCAAACGTGCCTCTCGTTGGGAGACGTAGGAAGCGGGGTTGTGATATAAAGTAGCTTCAAGGCCGCCATGAAAGATGTGATTTAAGGCGCACATTTGAAGAGGCACTGGGGCGGGAGCGCGCACGCGCACTCTCCTAACGGAAAGTATTGTGTCGTCGCGTTAATATAAAAAGACTACAATTAACCAGCCGAAGCACTTAATAAGTAATACACACAACAAAACAGCAATCACATACCGGCGTTGGTCATATATCTTCGTAGGATTCTGTTAAATGTGAGCAATAACGAGATGTTTGCGAGATAAAGATAGTTACGTTCATTCAAGCTTACCGTCTTCGGCATCTTGTCTTTTGTTGGTCCGGTTCGGGTTAGAAGAAAGCAAACACGCAGAAAAAAACAAACAAGGACTAAAAGAACAGACGAGCGGTTGTCGAAACCACCAGAAAACTTTTTCCCATCAGAACAACGGCGCCAGTGAAACGCCTTCCTGTCCAAAACGAGTCCAACCGATTACTTGTTAGCTCGATTTAAACACACAAAAAATAACAAGTATCTCTTGAACTTTGGAGGGGAATATTATTCTTTGTGTCGCCCTCGTCAAAAGAAACGGATTCGAAAGCTCGATTTCCTGCTAACGGTACCCGGACTCTCTAACCACACCCAGGCCGATGACAGGACAGAAGCCAGACAGAAAGAAGGAGAAGCTCGGTTTGGTTTGGGTTGATTTAGTTGGAGCCCGCAGACTCCGCCTGCTGCCTCTGCATCATCATGGCCGCACACATTCACTCTCTCGGATTTTTTTTTTTTTTTGTCAGGCAGGCTACTGTCTGTACTTTTATTCCTTCTACCTCTGCGTTTTACTCGTTTTTTAGGGGGTCAAAAGCCTATTTTGACAAAAATAAAGCTAGAGTGATGAATACCACCTGGGGGTCCCAAGTAAGAACTTTTAAGCACATCCTGTCCTAAAGCACCCCCACCCCCGAAAAAACCTGCGTGATGGATCACCAAATATATCTTGTATTAAGTGTTGTCTCACAAATAAAATTAATTACAGTAATCTCGTCCATCGTGGGCTTTATGTTCCAGCCCAGCCCATCTATAAATGACATCCATGATATAGAAATACACAATTTAAATACTCTCTTGGCATGTTTTTTACACTACCCTACAGTGTTTATACTAAAAAGACGTACAGAACATTATGAAATAAAACTTAAAGGGGGAATTTGCAGTATTAAAACTGCTAGCAAAGGTTTTGATGTATAGTTTCATTTTACACATTCACAGATCGTAGTTGTTTCTGTATTTCTGCACATACCATCTACACTATAAATTTTTCGTCTGGACAAAATGGTAGGCTGAGCCCAGTAGCGACAGAGATAAAACATCAGCTAAAAGAGAAATAACAATTACCTTCAGTAAGAAGTACTTTTTTTCTAATGTTTTATACAGGCAGTGGAAAAAGAGGGGAGTCATTTGCCTTCCCCACATTACCAACAGTACTGGAATAACGGAAAACACGCCAGCAGACGCCACAGTCGAAATGTTCATGTGGGCCCACAATGTGGTGAGCGGGAGCATGCAGCAGTGGAAGGAGGTAAAATCATTAAACTTGTGCTTTTCTGGCTTCACTTGACTTATCATATTTTTGGGGTAACCTGGAAAAGGCAAGCCTGATCCATCCAGATTGCTTCCAAGTCAGATATCCTATAGAAAGGGCTAAACAGTCAGAAGATGTTTCACCGATTTCAAAAATATGCTTCATCATAGAAGACAATGGCCTCTGGCTTTTTGACTTGTTCTCTTTGAGGATACAGAGGGATGATTCATGACACGATTTCCTCAGAGCTCGAGAAGCTAAATGATGTCTTTGTACTGATTTCTTAACATGCAGCTCACATTGGGCTATCACACTTCCTCACCACATCGAAAATATTGGATTTTGCAAGAACATAAGCGTTTCACAACTCCTTTTGCATTTAATCGGACGAAACATTTCTGGAATGAACAAATAGAAAGTGATGGGCAGGGCGTGTAATCTAAAAATGTGTGTCGTATAGTCATCCAAACTATCCAATGCCAACACTGCAATTAATCTCCCATACTCAACTCAGCTTCATTTATAGAGCAGAGGTTTACATATGCAGTACTGTACATACATTTTCAATGAATGATTGATTTAAAATTTGTTTAACTCATTTATACTACATCCATTTGGGAAAAAAAAACTAATCTAGGAATGACCTGGCCCATTTGTACGTTTTAAAAAGCACACGTAGCCCTTGAGCACCCCCCACCTCCTTTTCAGATACTATACAGTACAAGAAGTCTTGTTCACTTCCCATTGTCTGCCTTGTGATTGACAGGCCGTCCAGGGTTGCTCAACGGCAGCTGGGATGGGCTCCACATCTCCGTAACGTCCACAATCCATTTGCTGCTGATAAGGGATGAAAGGTGAATAACACAATGCCCGAGGTGAAATTCTGCCAGCATAAAAATGTTCCTTCCTTTAAAAAGTAACCAACTCAAATAGCTTCGTGTTGACTTCGCTAAGTTACATTGCCACGAGTTACACTTCTAGGGTATGATGACTTCATGTGGAGTGTTCGCACAAAATGAGAAACTTACTCAAGTTCACATTCTTTAGCATCCAACAGTAAGCCAAAGAAAGCAGGGAATGCTCAGTGTGATTGCGCCAGTCTACTGCCCATCTATCCCCCATATTCCATGCACAAATTTTGCCAGCAGAGGGTGCTCGAACTCAAATATTGACCTAGCTGGAAGTTTAGCGTCTCGAAATGAGGGTCCGTTTTTACTTGTTTTTATGGTATACTGCATAAATGACACGAAGCGCGTTTCGATGTGACAAGGGTTGGCTTTGTTTAAGTGTCTTGAGCTTAGACACACTACATACGTGCCCATTATTTGCACAACCAGAGCCTGAAGGCAAGTATGCAACAAAGAGCACAGGCTTCTTTCTCCCCATCTTACCTTGTAGATCAACGTTTTTCTAGGCTACTAGTTTTCTCTCTACCATTAGTGGTACACAAAAGAATGACGGCCTATCTACAGTTCGGTTGTGTACGACTTTTAAGGGGGAAGTTTGACGTTTCATGAAAAAAAAAAAATCACTGCCATATTTGTTAAATCAGTCAGTACAACCTGATAGTAGTACATTCGTAAAATAATCTTGAAAAAAATAATAAATCAGCCTTTCTGCCGCTATCTTGCACCTCAAATGAGATTTTCGAGAAACCAGTACACCAAGAAAAAAAACAACCAATCAGATGCAGGAGATGGGACGTACACTTTCTCCTTTCCTGTGGCTCATCATTTAAATAACCCTCATCACATTTGGCTTACTTGCACACTTGCAGATTTTCCCACACACGTTTTTCGGACTGGTCCCCCCAAAGTGTTCTGATTATTAAAAGAGGAGCTAGCACAGTATGAACATAATATAGCTTTATTAATGGTGAGAAACACGTCATTAAGACTTACATTTTGTTTGAGCCCACAGACTCAAATAGTCTAGTTTGGTCTACAAAAAAAAAAAAAAAAGCAATGCTTTCCAGTCAGTGTGGATTACAATACCGCAGATAAGCACAACACAAAAAGCTTGCTTCAATGTTTCCCTTGTTACATTGCAAACACTACAGTCCACGCACACCACTTTAGAAAAGTCACCGGTACAACTTACTGTTTTTGAACCTTGTGATTTTGAATGTTAGCCGGGTTAAACCTGAGTATTACACTGTAAATATGTACAGTCATGTTAATGGGCACACCTCTCGTCCTGACATTCTGCATAACAAGTCTGTCCGTCTGGGAGGATGCTGGCATCAAGTGTCATCGGTACACAAGAAGTGTGAAGGTATGTTTGGACCACTAATCATAATGTGTACAGTTTAAAAAAAACAAAACAAAACCCCAACAACTTTGGTTTTCATCTCACCCATTAACATGCTATTATTCAACACACAACTTCAAAATAGCGCAAGTCCAATTTTCATAGGGCACCAGCTGAAAGTACGTACAAACCGGCCACCGACAGTAAAAGTATTCATTTACACTACTTCAATATCATATTGCAGTGGTCAAAGTAACAACAAATAGCACACATCTGCTTGTCAACATTGTTTAGTCATTCAAACCCCTGCCAAACATTCCACTAAATTTCAGTTTGAAGAGAAAAAAAAAAATAACATTAACATGAAACATCAAAACACAAATGATTCAAAACTGGCACTGTGCTCTCATTTCATAGTTTTTAGTCAAAGTAGCCTTTAAAGTAGATTAGTTTGGTGCTGAACAATCTCAGTGTTAAATCATTGTTAATTTTTTTAAACACCCAAATATGCAAAGTTTATACAAGGCAAAATGAACAAATCAAGAGAAAATAAGCACAGGTTACAACATTCATGTGAACTGAAGTAATGTTTTACATTTACACATTAAATCCTATCCACAGGAACACGCAGGTATGTACAGTGAGGGCGTGATGCTTAGTGCGGCACAGTTTTGTCTTGCTGTGCACTTGACCTAGCACATCAAAGTCCCAGGAAATTAACTACTGTACCCAATAAAAGATAGTACATACCTATGGGCTACTCCCAGTGACACACAGTGTCACAAAACATTAGGCATTTTTCTTTCCCCTTTATTTCAATAAAACTCTTTTCATAATATACATTTGATATTTAGTTTACATTCAAGGTAGAGATACAATTTGTATCAACAAGTAAAAGTCAATTCTGGACATTTGTGGCTTGTTTGCGGCACTTACAAAAGAAGGGGTGCGGGGGCATTGAACTACGACGAGAAAAGTTTTTTCGCAAAGCTGGATTGTTGGATAGGGTTTTCTCTTAAGACTTTTTTGGGGCTCTTAAGTGCAGCCTAGAACAACTTAGAAAGCAATGTAATTGAATATGGACAAACTTGTGGATCCCATTTCCGACAAGTCATTCAAAATTACCGAAGTGCATCGTGACAAAAATCAGCATGTCAGAATATGTCACTTCTTTTGAGATAATGAGTCTAAAATGTTTTTTTTTTTAATGTGTGTAGTTCAAATTCCCAAAATGACCAATCAGGGTTTGTGTACATTCATGTACTGATTTGATGTCTATTTATGTATAGAACATTTCCTCAAATAGTGGCCTCTGGTGGAAAACGCTGTGCCCAAATTAATCACGTGGAACATTTTAAAAATTACATTTGACATCACACCTCTTATAGATGTGTCATTCTATTTTTTTTTTCAAGTGTGTGTTTGGGGGTGGGGGGGATTCTTGACGATGTATTTTGTAGTAATTTATTAAGTACATTATTTGTTGAAAATGATAAAACACATCTGACCATGGCACCCTCTGTAATTGAGTACAAAATGCATCCCAGGCTACTATATGAGGAAATATGCTAATTTAGTTAAAACTGCAATCAGACCTTGCAGGATAGAACACAATAATTCCACTTTCACTTGAGTGATGTTGTGGCTTGGGATGAACTGTGTCGTCTTAAAATTATCAGTGCAATTAACTCAGTGTTCTTTCAGTCACCGAAACAGTAATGATAGCGGTTGTTTTGTTTTTTTCTTCCCTTCGCACCAAGAACATTTTTGGGGAACCCATGACAATATAACTAGCTGGGAATGGGGCGGGGTGGCACGCAAACGTTGAGCCAAATGCCAGAAACAACGGTGACGGCAGCCTTGCAATCTGACTGTTTCATATGAAGAAACATTTAGGCAGTTTGTTTTCACCTTCTCATGAACAGACAGCTGGCCTCAAGTGGCCTTGTGTGTTTTCATGAAAAATAAAACAAAGTCAGCAAAGCCCAAAAAAATCTTTTGGGCTATACACATTCACTTTTTTTTTCTTCTCTTTTTGGATGTTTATACACATTCGTTTTATCGACCATTAGAGAGAAATCTATCTATTTGTTGAAGAATCACCATTGAGAAAAATAATCTAGCTCACATCAATTCCCAATTAAGGAGTAATACCACTTAATGTCGAAAATCTGTGTGGCCCTTTGTCATCGTGTACTTTTGTTAGAGATGTCACTTGCATCCCCCTTTTTTTTTTTTTTTAAGAACGGTTCGATGCTCACTCAGGTGATCATAGAGATTCAGTGAAGTGGCATTTCCCTTTCGATGCATTCCGAGCAACACCTTGCATTTGGGCTGGCTTTATACGATACCTGTGATGTTTTTCAGCAGTGGCACCTCAAAGTTCAAAATTCCCTAATTGTCGTCCATTTTCACAAGATGGAAAAGAATTTTCCTGAAAAATATACAAACTACAGTACATTTACACCACATCAGTGAGATCAGCATTACGAGGCCCACACTTGTGGCTTCACGATTGCGATAAACACATCCGCATCATGTAAAGCCACCCAAATGACCCAGTCTTAAACAACTCAAGGTGCATACTTCAGAGATATCTGTACAAAGTTTTACAAGGCAGTTTTTCCACACTGCAACTTTCTATACATGTACAAGTTTTCACAAAATAGATCGCTATTAGAAGAGAAGAGACACTTGCCAGCAGTAAGCACTGTTTTTTTTTTTTTGGCCAGTGAAGGTGAAAAAGTGAAAGCATCCTGAGAGCAATGTGCTGCAAGGCACAGCCAAACTGTATTTGAGCCATCCACTCTCACGATAAAAGTCAAACATCATACTAAACATGCTTTCTTGCATTCATGTCAGTTGTTTTCCCCCCCCCAAAAATACAACAATAAACCCCTCCGTTATAACAACCTTGCAGGCCTAATACTCGTGGATAGATTTTTAATCTATCCAGCTAAATATCAGAAGAAAACTGTGCAAACTCTTGACGGTAAACATTTTTTTTTTTTGCAGTAATGTTTTTACTGTAGATGCATCTTGATCGTCCCAATTCAAACAATTTTATTGTCATCTCAGTGTCATAACGTTCGCTGCATCTAATTTACCGTGGATGCATGAGCAACTTTGCAGCTTTTGCTAAAAAAATGTATTTGCACTGACTGACTCTTAAAAGTAAATTGTAAGCGGGCTTGGAAATACCTCAAAAAATGTTCTTCAAGCCAAAGCCCACTAGAAATAAAAGCCGTCTCACCTTCTTATGTGTCTCAGTCCATTTAAGTGCATGGAAAAGTAGTCTTTGATACAAATGAGCAACAAACAGCTCTACTGACAACCTGAAGTAGTTCAGAGGAGCGTTCTTTTTTTTTTTGTTTTTTTTTTTTGGTTAAGAAAATCATATACTATATGTAGCCTGGGAATAAATTAAATCGAGAAAAACAACAAGTGATATTGTGAAAACATTGTATTTGTGATGGGTCACTGGTAGGTATGAAACACCCAAATTTAAGAGTACTTCTTAATTTATACTAGAGAAATAGAGGTAACTAAAAAAAAAAATCAGAACGCTGTCTAAAAGCCTAAGATATATCGTAAGCGCTACATATATATTATAAACTATTTTCACAACAAATCTGACAAAAATATACAAGGCAGTTGGAAATGAGAAATAATTCCAATTACGTGAAGCAAAATGTAATGTGAAGTCAGAATAATGATCATTTTTCTCTTTTTTTTGGCATTATTTAGCAGCTTATAAATGACTGAAATAATGGCTTTTGTTTGATTTTCTTTTTTTTAAATGTACATAGATATAGACACGTGCACCTGTATACAAGACAAATCTCTTTTTGGCTTGCTTTGTGCACTGTCAAATTCTACCAAAATAGTAGCTTTGTGAGATTGAGAAAATAGATCTCTTTCCATACTGAGATAGTGCTTTAGGTTTGAAAGTAGGAGGCTTCAATGCCAAAGACGTTCATTGAAGGAGAGACTAAAGCGTGAGGTCACTCAGATATAAGGCCATTAAATATCACTTCATGCTTGGAGGTATGAGTGTACCTCCCTCTTACTCGTTTTTGAAAGAAATGCACAAAAAAGGAAAAAAAATCACCATTTTTTTTTACAGTAGAGGCAAAGCTCAAGAAAGTTATTGATAGTTGCACTGCACCACAAACATTTGTGATGCCTTTCACAGCACATCCACATGACCTGAACAAGAACGTCTTAAAAGCTATGTGGCTAAAACCAAGTATATTTTTGATTAAATGAACCCAAATGCTGAAAAGCAGCAACTCGCGGTGATGTTTCTGGTTTATATTGAAAGCAAGTGGGACAAAGTTTGGCATTGGTTAACCTCATTTCTTGAAATTGGATGGTTAACCAATTGGTCTGACAAATTTTTGATAAAAGCTAATCAAGATACATTGTAAGTGAAAAAAGAAATCCTTATTTGATATTTTTGAAAGGAAATTCCGCTCCTGGTCAGGTATGATAAATGCGTTATGAAACACATACAGTAAAGTTTCCTTTTACAATTGCACCACACTTCTTATAAATGTATAGCCTTCTGTGTGCGAAACATCTTTAAGTTGCACTAAAAAAAAAATGTCAGACAAACTTTATCTATGTTGTTGACTTAATGCCATCTTGCTGATGAAAATCCAGAGAGCTGGGTTTTGTACCAGAGACATTAAAAAAAAAAAAAAAAAAACTCCTGAGGGCAAATGTTGCACATTTGGCAACATTTAGCAAGTGCCTGTGTTTGCAACCAAAACACTCAAATCTATTTTCAAAATTTCCACCTTATTTTTTTTTTTTACCTTTTTGCCCTCAGTGACAAGACCTCAAATTTGTAACAATGACAGCCGCCAGTTGTTGGGGGTCTGTCAAATGAGGGTTCTTCTCCATCACCGAATGGACTACATAAGCAGGAAAAATGTTGCAAAGGTTCCGATATGTTTGATACTGGTGCTCTGGGATGACATACCGTTCAGGGTGTTCCGTTGCGGGTGGGGCCTCCCACGGCGAGTTCCAAATTTGCTCCATTTTGTCAGGCATGCTGCGGACCATGACTCGCTCGCAACACGGCATCAGGCTGTTGCTCAGCGGATACGAGTGATAGCCGTAAGACTCGTTCCCGCAGGGCAGAGGGTCCCAGCTCGCATGCTGCTCGCGGCACAGCGGCGGTCGCCTCTGTCTCATTGGGTTGCTGTCGTACAGCCTGGAATCGGATATGCTGTCCATGCGAGTCATGCCGAGGGACCGCGTCGGCTGCGATGACAGCGGCGGGAGGACGTTTTGAGCCACGGGGTAGTCTCCGGGGCAGCTCGACCTGGCCCCCACTGCGACGTGCTGGATGTGCGGGGCTAGATGAGGTGCGGGCTGCTTACATGGACCCTGCTTGGGCTCCTCCGGCCCGTAACTCTGCACCCGGGTGAGCGCTTCGTGTCGAAAGCCGTGGGGGAAAGTCTGCATTCTCCCTGTTGCCGGGGACTGCTGCTGGCCCTTCATGCTCTCCTCCAGGCTCCCGTCCACAGAGCTCGGGTACATGTCGCCGTAGGAGGAGAACGAATCGCTGTTGGAGTGGCTGAGGCAGGACTCGGGGCAGTGGCTGCGAGTTCTCAGGCACACCGCGTGCTCGTGCTCCATGCTACAGAAACTGTCGACGTTGTGCATACTGCTCATGCTCATGTTTGAAAAGTCACTGTGCAGTGAATAATAGCCGTGGTCGCTGACCGAGTCATACTTTGGGAACTGGTCGCCATATGTAACAGAAGCGCCGTGACTGTTGGTGACCAAAATGGGAGGGTACTGTACACTAGACATGTGCTCGAGCGAACTATGTGAGAACTGCAAAGAACCTGGCACCGGGCTGCTAGCGGATCGCGTGTTCAAGGCCCCGGCTGCGTGGCTCTTGGCGGGCTGCATGGTGGGCACGCTGAGAGCAGTCACAAGGGAAGGCACTGAATTTGTCTCAGACTTCCTCACAACGGACAGGCTTTCGGGGGACTCGCATGCCACCGAGCGTATACTCGGGTCGGACTGGCGTTTGGGCGCCACGCGTTTGACTTCAGAGTTGCTGTCCCTGTTCACAAGTGCCGGGCCGGTGCCGCATTTCGCTAAGGCCCCTTCGCTCATTGTCTTCACTGCAGACAGTTTTGCAAAGGCCCGCAATTCATCGGCCACCGACCGCAGCGGTTGGTTGACACGCTCCGGATGATAGTATTTGCACTTGTGTCCATATGTGCATTTTTTGCCTTTTCAAGGAAAGAACAAATCAATTTAGCAATATTGAAGAACTTCAACAACAACAACAACAAAAGTAACTGACTCACTCACCATAGGGGCAAGGTTGTTTTTTATGCTCTGGGACAACAGGACGCTTGCGAAGGAAATTTTCCAAGCTAGGACCATGTCTTCCCAGTGGGTCATCGGGTGGCATAAACCTGAAGACATGAAAATGTTTCAAGAATTAATGTGATCACTAGGATGTCAGTAGTACATTTGCCAATATCAACAAAAATAGTCAAGGCTGTGATCTTCAGATTTATTTTAAGAGCACCATTTGAGGCCGTAATTTCTGGTGTAGCATCACTGTGCGAGTATATACTAACTTCTCCAATTATATGATTTAGACGAAAGCGTGTTCATGGTGCCTTACTTGTCATTGACGAATGAATACATTAGGAGACGTTCCTCGATGAACTTCTTCCACTCTGGTTTTTCATTTTGCAAGTCTCTGTAGTTGTCATTTGACACAATAATTCCATCAGAATCATAAGCCAGCTTCACTATGAAGCGATCATCATAGCACACCACCCGTCTGCCTTGGACTCTCCGAGATGGGGTGAAAACCAGGATCTTCTCTTTTTCGAGCTTGCGTAATATTTCTTGATCTGTGAGGGGAAACACGGTTTTAGCTGGCTACGGATGCACCGAAACACTGCCTGGGCACACATATAAAATAGCAGGATACCTTTAGCACTTTGTACTTTTCCTAGCGGTTTTGAAGACTGCTGACAACTGACGTGCATGACATATCAGGCAACTTTTAGCAGCTAATCTTAAACGTCCACATTTATTGTTACAATGGCCATGAATGCGGTATTACGTGCACCGACAATACATGTTGCAACGGTCGAAAAATGTCTTTGCTACCTGTAATGAGAGCATCGGGCCTTGACTGTTCCTTTCTCCAGGCTGGGACAAACACAGTAATGTCTTTGTGCCCCTTTTCGAGGAACCATTCGACAGCCAGTTGGATACCACGGCAAGAGAAAACCTCTTTGTTTCCATGGCTGAAAAACAAAGATGCGGTCGGTCAACTGCCATGAGATAGAAACCATATGAAAACTAGTTTTTCAATAGTTTTAGCCCCCTCGTGCTACTTTGAACACATTTAAAGTTAGTCAAAGTTGTTTGCATCTTACCTCATTGCCACATTGGACCCATCAATGACAATAGGCCTGAGGTTGTCGTATGGGTCCACAGATTCCTCTTCCACCGACACCTCAGGACTAACGGTCTCTTTAGCGCACGGTGGAAGTGAGAGCGACGCGGCTGCAGTGCTGCAAGGTTGACTTTCAGGCTCCACTTTGTTTCCCAGCCTTACGAGCTCAGCAAGAATGTCATTAATGAGAGCGGCGGCCCCCAGTTTATTGAGCACCATCTCCACCTGCTCTCCAGAGTAGCCCAGCTTCAACGCAAAGTCCATTTTTGTCTGGTACTCCCTTTCACTGGCCGCTTTGATCGCTGGCCCCGCGCTGGTCTCATCCTCACGGGAATCTTGCACCGTGCTACTCTGGGAAAAACTGGGCTGGTCGAGGCACGGGGAACGACACAGCTGCCGATGGGGCTTCGCCACCGCCAAGGGCTCCCACTTCTGACAGCCGCTGTTGTTCACCTGAGCCTTCTGGCGCTGCTGCTCCTCAGCGTCACTTTCTGAGCTGCTGCCGTCCCCTGGCTGATCGGTGGCATGCTGGTCCCTGCTCGAGTCAATGTTCTCCTCCCTGCATGGGTGCTTTTCCATTTTGAGCCTCTCCGACGCAGAACATACTGTCACGTTTGCCTCAACACTTCGGATTTACGCCCCATGCTTCTTCCTCACCTCAGCTGCAAGCGGGGAATCTCATTCATCGCTGGACTGTTCACACTCCTTTTGTTGGACTGAAGGATTACACTCTTCCCTGTGTGAACTCTTTAAATCTGTAGGAGAGCACAAAAAAAAAGAATATTTGTTATGCAGTGGGACTTAGATTTTTCAAGATCACTAGTCCCCCTCTCTTCGTGGGTGATAGCATAAAACGTCCAGCTTCTGACACTCCCCAGTTTGTTTATAATTGCCTATAGATGCGATGGCCTGTTTTATCGAAGCTCATCCTCTCACTTCAACATCATCCGTTTGCACAAAGAGTGTACCAAAGCAATACTTTTCTACGAGACAAGACTTTTTCAGTAAAGAGTTTTAAAGCAAATAACAGAATATTATTTTTTTAAATTGTAATTAAAAAAAAAAAAAAATCACATACTCATAATGCTCTTGTCATGAAAATGGTTTTGTTCCCATAAAATAATAGAATTTATACAACACAAGGTAACTTTAGACTTGCACGGCTCCTAAGAATGATGAAAGTTTAACATAAGAAATTTCCCTGTTCATTCAAAAGGTTTTACGATACCTTGGAACTTCATCTTCATATTTCAATCATTTCATATGGGAAAAATGACTGAATAATCAAAACAGAATGGATAGTCTTGGCCCTTTGAGGTTCTACTGTACAGTAAAAAGGGTCATGCCATTGAAATCTTTGGAACTTGACCCCAAAAATCGAATTACTGTAACACAACCAAGATGCTTGTTCACGCCGTGGATTCAATATGCACCAATGTTGCATTAATGAACATGTTTCCCTTGTCGTTGGTATGCAGCGAGAATATTACCAATGGACCAAATGACGAAAGCATGAATATTCAGAAAGCGACGACGCCACCATTCTGCATCTGATCTGTTTGGAAGCCACACAAAGCTGTTATCATTCCATTTCTTTTTTCAATTTAAGTAATGTTTTGTGAACATTACATCATACACTCCAACAATAAGTACAAAATCAGCCAACCAGTATCACGATTCGCCCCGAAAGAAAGAGAATAATGAAACCGACTCCAAATATCTAAGTGACTTCCCTCTTCCTTCAGTCTATTGCTTTTTAAATAATACAAAAAGAGCAGGCCCGGTCTGCTAATGTGCTGCAGAACAGCCCTCGCCTCGACGCACAAAAGCAACATTGAAGGCAGACACGCATGAGTGCATAGAACCTGAGACAGTGTGGGCTGATCAGCGCATCGGTGTGCTGCCAGCCCTCTGAGAGTGAACATTGCTTGGCAACTAATCTGTGATGGGCAACGAGAGCACATCTTACAGAATCAAATATGTTTTGTTACAGAATGAAAATCCAAATATCTTCGTAACGAGCCCGTTAAGGTGGAGAGCAGATACAAGACTGCCAGATTCAAGAGGCGCAGCCCATGATGTGTGTTGCCTAGCAACGCAGCCGTGTCATCAGCTAACTCCTTTTTACAAGTCACGACTAAAGCAAACACAGCTCATCGTCTCTCTTCAGGCGGCCAGTAAATGCACAACACTTACAGATACACTCCTCTTTGCACTGCGACTCTTGAGGCAGCATATTCCCCAATTAAAAATGGACTTTACTCCACAGTCCTTTGTCTCAACCAACCATTGCAGTAGACCATAATCTAAATTAAATAAGATGTTCAGCAGCAGTAAATCGAAACCTATTCCAGATCATGCAGAAGGCAGTTAAGTTTATACGATTTCCATTTCTTTCAAGATGGCATCATTCCAGTTTTTCCGGTCAACTTAAATGTAAATTGTAAATACACATCTATTAAGTGCATGGCATTCTCATAAAAGACAAGAAGGGTCCCTGTAAAGTTTTGTAATGAGGGTAAAATCATCCAATAATGATTTTTCTTTAGCAACATGGGGTTTCATTTGGTGGTTTGTTTGCCATTGACTGGGATCAGAAATTTACATAAAGGTGTTGACCTGTGTCTGGGTACAAAATACAAAGTCAAGTCAATCTGATGCAGCCAATGCATACATTGATAGTCTGTTAGAGTCGCTGATGAATTTAAGCACATTTCTGAGACACCATAACCTCTCTACTACTAAGTAGTGCAACTGGAGTGTCAACTTTGTGACAACACACAAGCTGACACAGTCCACTGATGGTCTTCTCCGGTGAGATGATTATATGATTCTAAGTTTAATGGAGCACAGTAATCTAATCATTTACCTTTCTGATTCACAAGTTTATATTTTACAAGGCAAGAGATACATCTGTTTATGCACGTGTAGTTCTGTTACATGGCAACAAGTGAAGAGGACCTTGAAGAGGTCCTTGAGGCCATCCTGTATCTTGTCTATATTTGCAATCACTCCCTATCCACTATAGAGTGAATTTGATATTTTGTCGTACAGTTTGAATAAATAGTGAATACAGGTTATCCGCTATACTGTATACTGTAGTGGCCTCAATGTATCCTAAAATGCATCTTGAAAAGTTGTGAACTGATGGTCACTCGAAAAGCAAAGCAGTGGAAACTATCATCCAAATGTTCCCAAAGTCATTTGTTTGTATTGTTTTGTAGAAAGTACATGGCACTCAAAACGTACAATAATTCAATATTTGTTAAATATTTCATCCAGAAGGTCCATCAGGTGACGCTGATGTACATCACAATTATGTGGAAGCAATGGCACAATTAACTTGTTGCCCAAGTAGTGTTCAAAAACAATTTTTCATTTGACTGATGAGAGAACTTTATAGTCCACTATATAAAAATCCCTACACAATGATTAGAGTGTAGGGAATGACGGAATGATTCTGAACAGGGCCATTATGTATTATCAATTTTGGTGATTTATTGCCGCACTAGTTTGACATCTTGAAATTAAGAGCCTTTCAAACTATTTTGCAATAAGTTCAACATTTGGCAGCAATTCAAGAATAAGTTAACCAGCTCTGTATCAAAAACTAACTTGGTGCACAACTGGAAATTATAGCCACAATGTGTGTACTCTTAAATTAATATTTCTGACAGTCGATCACAACTTACCAAGTCATCATCCAATCACATTATGTTCTCTTCAACTTTGCAATAACGCTGACTAAATTACTGCGTGACTAATTTGTGCGAAAATGTGTGTAGATTCACATTCACATTTCCAGCCATAATGACGGACATTTGTTGATTTGGCAAAGCAATACAAGCATGATATAAAGTTCTAGGTTGCACTTAATGACACACTTACCCGATATAAATAAACTAGTAATATAAAGAATTTCAATGAGTCACGGCTTGTACTTTAAATAGAAACTTCGGTTACTTTGATTGAACTCATTTTCAAACGTGTTACGATTAAATGCACGTCAATATCAACGTTGTATCATGTCATCCCTAACAAGAACATCGCGCCTCTAAATGAATGGTGACCAACACAACACCGCAGGAGAGCAAATATTTAAAACTGAACAGATTGTTTTCAGCGCTATTCCATGGGATGTCAAATTTGCGACGTTTGCCCACAAGTAATTAATTGTTCAAACATCATTTAGGCCCCGGGTTAGCACAGGCTTACCAAGGTGCTCTGTGGTTACTTAGCCAGCTGGAGTCAACATGTTAGCCACATCCACTAACCAGGTTAGCTTCTTAGCTACGTCTGGTTTGGTTAATGGCTAAAAAGTAGCACGGTGGGGATCCAACGAGGATTTTATGGTTTAACTGTAAACCGTAACAGGCAATCGGTATCTATAACTGCAGATTAAAGAAAGAAAACATACCAGCCAATGAATAGCTCCAGATGCTAACTTTGACATACGCTTGCGAGCGTGTGTTAGCTTTTAGCTGACGCGCGCGTGCTAACATTTTCTTATAACTTGAGATAAAGTGAAATTAAAAATCTTACACTGCGGCGAAGTTGCGGCGACACGACGGGCTCGTGCGTGTGCTGAGAGCGCACGGAAATCGGGGCGAGCGTTGCCATGCAGCGAGAGCAGTCTCACCATGTTGCTGTCATCCTCCTCGCCCGCTCCGCGGATGTTTGGCTGCCATTGGCGCTGCTGTGCTGTCGCAGTTTGCTCAAGGTTGCTCGATCACGAGAGGATGCTCGCTGATGACACCTCAGCGCACTCCTTCCACGTTTAAGCATCGCCAAAACGCACTGTGCTTGTAGAGGAGCACGATGAAGTTTTGCAACTTAAATTGTGATGCACAAAGCATTTGTTTTTACAGTGCAGTACTATTACCGCTGCACTACATTTGTGGGCAGTGTTACATGCAATGTACATTCCGTACTAATCGGCCGCCAAATTAGGTATACTGGAACATCCATTTAATTCAGTGTTTGCCGACCTCCTCTGAGCCAAGGCACACGTTTTAACATTAGAAGAGTCTCACGGCACACCGCCGGACAAGATTCACAAAAAGGACACAGTGAACCCGCTGCATATTCTGTTTGGCATTTGATAAATTGTCTGTTTTGCTCATGGTGAAGCCATAAAAATGTTTTGGCACCATTTGTTTTGCTCATGGCAAAGCAATAAAATTGTTTTGGCACCATCTTAGTGCTGAGGCGAGTTGAGGATCTTCATTTAGACAAAAGGAGTTCTTTGCCGCTCTGTTTTGGCATCTGTAGACAACTAGAGTACAGTATAAAACTTTTTAGAGAGGTCATTGATTACTCACTCAGGTTTGCACTATTCGTGTCAGGACTTGGCCCCTATCACCGATAAATTCACAAACATTTGTAAAAAAAGGTATGGAATGATAAGTCACAAGCATCGATAACCAAAAGCCTGTCTCTGTGTCAGGATTGCACATACTTCTTTGACTGCAATTACTGCACTATTTGCCTATTTTAGGGTGTCATACTTTTCAGACAATCTAAGTGAAATTGGATAATTTTTTTCCAGCGCACCAAATGATCTTTCACGGCAAACTAATGAGTGTTAACTAAGGCTCAGGATCCAGGATGCTGGTTATACTTAATGGAGCAGACAATTTATTGTCACAGAGCTTTTCTATGTTGTATTTGGTGCTGTAATTTTGCACCTTTTGGAGCAGTTTCTCATATAGTTGTCCGTCTTTCTGTCAAGTTCATATGTAAACATAATTACCTAAAGTAAAAAGCTACATTTGGGGATAAATACCCAGGCTTTATCCATATGAATTTCATTGTCTATAGGTGGTTATGTAAAACTTGAATCACTCTTCTAGTCAAGAGTGCACTTAAAAGAAAAAAAAAATGAGTGGGCCAGCAGACAGGAATATACCTGAACAGGAAAATGACAAATGTAAATTCAGGCAAGTCTTTTTTTTTTGTTTGTTTACTTTAAGGCAGTGCTCAAATTGACAAAACAGATTTTCCAAAATAACAGATAAAACTGAAGCCATATTGACAAGTTTTAACAGCATTTTCAGTACAGTCCTACAAGGTACAAATGGCTGAAATATAAATACAAAACATTCCATGACATTTGTTTATGACACGAGTAAAAACAAGTCACCCAATCAACGAAACGTGGAATTCACATGATATGAACATGAGGCAGGGATTTCTATTCAAACCACATTCCTTCTAATGCAAAAAAATGTGCATAAATTGTGCCAGTATTCTGCTTTTGCACTGCACAGGCAGTGAAGCAGCATTCCACTCATGTGCTACACAAATAAACCAGCTTTATCCTGCCATACTATCTACACTAATGGTAGTTGAATGTGCAAGGACTATGACTCCACCTTTACAATTTCAATACCACAATCGAAACTAACAACACTTTCTGTACTGCAAACCAAACGACTACATTCTTGTGACAATAGTCACAAAAGTGTTGCAAACCAAACGACTACATTCTTGTGACGATAGTCACAAAGTGTTCTCTTTAAAAATCCCTTGACCTTGAAATGAGGTGAACCAAAACAGAAAAAAAACAACTATGAATTTAAGAAAGCTGCACTGTAGTACAGAAGCAAATGTGATCAAGTAAGAGATTTAAGAGGCAACTGGTGTTTGATGCAAACCAGGCTGATGAGGAGCCTTCAGATAAAGCCCAGCAACAGATGAAACCTGGATATAAGGGAAACATGAGATTGTTTTGTAAAACATGCTTGGTGGTGCCACGATGTCGGCTGTCTTAATTCAACATAACTGAGTTTCGACTCCAATTTCAGTTTTTGTGAAGTAAATTTCAAATGAATTGTTCAAGTAAGCCATAATTAATCACAAAGAGTAACAATGGTTTTTCAATCTTTTTCATTGTCCTGCCAACCGTATTATTGGGAGCCTTTCAATTTCAAGGTCATTTTGGGAAGTTTGTTGCTGGCTGCGGGGTTTGTCGCATCGATGTGCGGGTCTTCCGTCGGCACACCCGCCCTCCGAGGACTTCCGAAATGAGACATTCTATCCATATTCACTGTTTGTCCGCTTTGACCAAACTGCATATACGACTGCCAATCGGCAGCGGTTTTGCGAAACGTATCCTCATCTGAACCGTATGATGTGTCTATTCCTGAATAAACAAAGGTGCTATGAGGTAAACAAGAATCTGACGGCAAGGGGAGGTGGCACGGCCGACTGTAAAGCTCTGCGTCTGGTGACATAACATCACAAGACATTGGCACATCAGAGTGAAGGTGGGCTTCACCGTCAGGTAAGCCCGCGCTGAATGAATCAGAAAATATGTTTCTCAACAGTTCCAGTGATGTCCTCATCAGTCAAAGGAAAGCTTAAAGCCATTTCTGACCGACTTTGCCACGGTACGGCCATAGCGCTGCCACCATATGTCACCTCTGATGAGGACATCAGTACATTCTTTTGACAATACAGTCAAATTCCTCTACAACAAAATCATGTTTGCAGCAAGAAATTTTTCACAATAGGGGAGTTTTCACTGTAGCAAATTTGATCTCAGATGTCAACACACACACACACACACACACACACACACACACACACACACACACACACAAACGTAAGTGTACACGCACACACAAATGTATGTGTACTCTATTTTTATTCCAATGGTGCATAAGTATGAGCACACACTTATTTGACACTTCATGTAGTCAGTGTAGAAAGAAAAAAAAGGAAAGAAATTGCAAAATTTACGATCAGCTTTCACTTTCACCAATTTCTTGGATAATGTCTTATTTTGCTTCCTCCGTCTTTCATTTTGATCACTTTTACCCTCTCTTCCAGCGTCAGAGCGCTTCTTGTCTTAGCTGCTTGACATCCAAAGGTCCGTTTTGTAGCCATTTTAGCAATGCAACGTTCATGCTTGCGTCTGAATTTAACAATAACAAATACTTCCTGGACCTGGTGGCTTTTCTTTCCACTATCTCACTGTCTCTAACTCGACCTCCCCTCGATCGCCACCCAAGACAGTGTTGCTCAGCTGATGTCAGGCAATGAACTTTTAAAGCCAGCCATGGGACGCTTCCAAGTCCTCGATGGCCATAGTTAGCGCGGTGGAACTCGCCTTCTCTCTAATTAGCGCTCCAGTTAGCGTAAGGTTTTTAGCATGATAACAAGTAAAGCATTCCAGGAAACGTTCGTTTATTTGACTGTCCGTCGAGCCACAAGCAATTTACTCGGAGCAGCTAATCGGATGCATTCCACTCTATTTTCCACGGATCTAGCTACAGTATCTACACACATAGATCGTGAGGTCCCTCTTGGCCAATCGGAGGCCACGATGATGCTCGGTAAGCCAATGGCAGAGCAGCTATGAGTATGTTGCGTTCAGGAAACTCGGAGCTGTGAACGAAATAAAAATCGTTCACTGTTCCAGTAAAACTCATGTTATTAGACTCACATGTCGCCGTTTTGTATCCAATTAGAGTAAATAGCGGCGCGGACAGCGTTATTCCGTAGTATCGAGCGGGACTTGCTTGCGTTTGCGCCACTGCGTGCTTCTGTATGGCTTCCGGGTAGTGGAAATTCTGGTGTTATGAATTGATCGTTAATGTAACATCGTAGTCGAAATTTTAATGCATAGGTTTTTAGTCCGCGTGAAGGAATTTCCTTTTGAAAGAACTCCGTAGATGGGAATATTTACTGTAAACCAGTGTGGTGGTTGCTGTTGCCGTTTCTGAACGAAGCAGTAGAGGTCGCTGTTGGATTAGACTTCGTTGTAGTTAATCTCTTCGCGAGGCAAGAGCAGAGAAAAAGATTTCGTATCACGCAACAGGGGTTTTTTTCATTGTATGGGGGGCAGGAGAGTGGGAATGGTGTTAATGCATGAAGATTTTTTCACACTAGGGGTATTTTCGCCCATGTAGGTTTCGTTGTAGAGGAGTTTCACTGTATGCTGAAGGATGACTCTCAGGGTCTCCTTCAGCTTTAGGACAGCAAAGGGTAGCAGCTCTGCTCTCTCTGCATGCACTCTGCAACTGAAGGCTTTCCGTGTCCAGAGACCGACTCCTCCTGTCTAGGGACAAGGGATTGGACATGGACTGGCTTAGTCTTGTAAGGCCAAGGTGCCGTGGAAGACTGGCGATGGCCCACGTGTTACTGATCAGACTCTGCTCATACAGATCTAACATTTGATAGTCGCATTCAGCAAATGCATCTTTTTGGAGGTAGCTGTCTTCAAATTCCTGATAGGGTGACGAAATGTCCTCCTCCAGCTCCATGTGAATCTGCTCCTCGTATTCCCCCTCGTTATGCGTGTCCACTACATCGAACGTGACGATGGTGGGTAAGGCCTCCATATTTGGAGTGAAGGTGGTGCTCGTCTCCAAGACGTCCACGCTCGCGTTGTGCAAGTTGCACAGCAGCTGAGAGTTTTTCTCATAGTTTACAAGCGCCTGGGAGAAACAAACGGTGTGGCTTTCATCCAAACAACTGTTACAATCCGGAGAATGGGAACCGACATTTCCGAACGGCAGTGCTACAGGTTTGTTTTCCTCTGGATGTAGCTCTTTGGGATCACATAACGTTTTAAAATCTGGGTCAGATGGATTTGCAAATGACAAGTTGCTGTGCCTCGTCTTACAGTCAACATTTATAGTAGTTGGGGAAGCGAGCTCAGTTCCCTTTTCATTCAATTCACCTGCCTCCAAATTCTTGCTAAGCGCTGCCTGTGATTTTGAATTGAAATTACAGTTCTTCTTCCAGTCAATTTCTTGCGGAGATACTGTATTTCGTGTCAACTTGAAGGGCTTGCATGCGCTTTGCACCTCAATAAAATCCTGCACTTTATACTGGTCGGCACTTGGTAGTCGTTTCATCTCAGAGAAAACAGAATCGGGGACATCCATTTGCTCAGTCTGTTTGGTACTTGGCAGTCTGGGTTTGCTTTCATGATGTGGACTGACAAGACTCTCATCAGTCGCAAACAGTTCATAGAGGGCATCCCCGCTGTAACTGTCTCTGGGTAATCTGTTTGTCTGTCTTAGCCGGTCTGTTCTGTCCTGTCCTTCATCTGGACCCGGGGTAGTAGAATCATAGTAGCCCTCATCACTATTGGGAACCGATTCTTGATGCTCACTTTGGGGTGTCAACACATCAGCTGAAGTGTTCGAGGTGCTGGCTTGCTGTTCGCTGTCCATATTGTGCGATGGAATTATGCTGCCAGTCACATCCATGTAGTCCTGGTTGCAAGGACAGTGAAGTTCCTCAGATGCATTATTTTCCCAGAAATCGTGGAGACACGGTTCGTCGAAATCTTCAGGGGAGGCCATTTCTTCACCGCCGCCCTGGAATGTGAGAAAGCAGGAGGCCCGCTTTCCTCCATTTCTACTTCTTTCTCCAGAAACTGGCGTCTCTGTGATGCTGTCAACCTCTTGATCCGCAATTATGTCCCCGCAACCAGTGAGTGAATCGAAGCTCTTAAGTGAAGCGACCTCACCGTAAATCATGTTCAGTTGATCAGATGAGCCAGCCGGTGTTTCGGACTTCAGTGTAGGATCAGGCATCATGTCAAGTAGCAGACAAGGCTCACTCTGTCCTCTCCCGCTCTCCTTGTATTCGCTGGAAACCACAGCCATCAAATTTATTTCATCTATTTGATCAAGACATGCTTGAGTATCACACTCAATCGGAGTGTTTTCTTGGTCACAACTCTTCTCTAAGGTTACGACTTCAGTGATGTTACATTCAGGTGCCAGTGAACTATCACACATAGCATTTGCAAAATCAGGCACATCCGGTTCAGATTCCAGGCACTGTGTGACATATTGGTCAGGGTTGCTCTGGACAGGAGGCATTGCTTTAGGGCAGTGAGGAGAGGACATTGCAATCATTTCCGTTTTATCTGAGCCATTCCTATGGTTTTTGTGATGTTTAAAACTACTAAAAAAACTTTTCAAACCCCGTTTCTGTCTAGTGAGGGACTGAGATTTCTGTTCATTGGGGAAACTACATTCATTACAATGCAGGTTTTCAGTGCAGTCACTCTGGTTGAGGCACTCGAAGTCCCCAGTGGAGGTGGATGCACCCCTCGGGCTGTCATCGTGACTTATTTGGCTTAGTCCATCATGAGTTTTGCTTTTGTAGATTCCCTTCTTAGAAGTCCACTTGCTCTGGTTTTTACTTCTTCCTCCGAAAAAGCTCGGTAAGAGACACATGCTTTTGCGAACTCCAAAGAATGTAAGCGCAGTCCTAAATTTTCCAGATTTTGGAGCTTTCTCGATTGAAGTTGCTTTGTCTGGAAGATGCTCTTCTGCAACGTCAGGACGGCCACATTTAGGAAGGGATCCCGAAATTGTCTCCAAGTCCCCGGTGTCACTTGGGAGCTTTTCAACGTCACGAGAAGCCATTGCCAGCTTGTTTACAAAATCATGACTTTCTGAGGTTGTTTTAGCTGAATGTCGACACCCAGCAGTGTGGTTCACGTGTGTCGCTTCTTCATCCATACATCAGGAGCCCTACAGTGAAAGATATGGAACCATTAATGTGGTGTTTTCATATCAAAATTACTGAAGTGAAATTTGGATAACTATGGCCTTGAGCAAGTTTTTATTATTTGAACTCTTTTCATCAACTACACTAAAAAAAAAATAAAATAAAATAATAACCTTGGCTTGCCAGGTATGATCATCATCGCCGACAATTAAGTGTATTAGTTTCAGTGTTCATCAAGAGCAAGACAGTGGTGTTATTCCTATTTTTTTTTTTATGATTTAATATTATTGTGAGGCACTGTAAGATGTGGTTTGAACATCATTAGCACTGGGCTTGAATATGCATTCATCCATTTTCCTTACAGCTTTTCCTCATTATGGTAGCAGATAGCTGGAGCCTATCCACGAAAACTAATAACTCAATTAAAATGTATTGCATATTTAGTAATTAGAAGAAGAAATACAGTATGTGCTAAGTAGGCCTCTAATTCAATTGGAAATAAGACTAAAATAAATCAGCAGTTTCCTGGGAAAACCTGATTTGTCGTGCTTTAAAACGCATGTCACTCACAATCCCCTCTAAACGTATTGGACAGCAAGGTCAATTTCTTTTTGTTGTAAACTAAGGACATTTGTGTTTCAGATCAATAAATGAATATGAAAAAAAGTTGAGGAATCCAGTTTTTATTTAAACAAAGAAATCAGCAACCTCGTAAAGTGAATGGGTTGAAGGCTTGATGCAGTTATTGCAATTAAGGCCAATGCCACCAAATATAAAAAATATTCACTTAAAATTTTAAATGTAAATACCATGAAATAAAAGCTGGACTTGTCTTCACTTTTCAAAAACAACAAACGAATTTACCTTGCCATTCCAATACTTTAGGAGGGGGCTGTATATCTGTATTATTTTGACAGACAATATTAATCAATGGATTGTAGCAGGGATGAACAAAATAGAACTACGGTAATGTACCTGCACGGAAGAATGACAAATGTCGCCCATAAAGTAGAACACTGTTAGAATGAATAGAGAAAATAAAAGCACATTAAATAATGCAACAGGCTGCTAAAGTCACATTGCACAGAGAAGCATGGCTAAATATGTTATTGCAAAGATGTGCTGACACGGTCAATTCTATCCTAGCGTTTAGGGAATGACAAACTGCTTTACATTAAACATGTATTGTGAGATAATTGGGAAAGTCTGTAAACAAACTTACCTGCTGCAGCCAAAATCTCCCATCACGTACCCCAACGCAAGGTCTCCGGCATCACGAACTTTATTTTAATTTCTCGCTTCAAGCGTTCTCATCATAGATTAGACGTTAAAGCCCAAAACGCATTGACTTGCTTTGCGCTAACGCAACCTTTCGCTAGCACCTGCAGCCTGCTAACAGGCTAAAATCCGTCACCGGCGTGTAAATTCCACGGTTCGTGACGACAATCCCGCCGATTGGGGAAAAGATTGTGCAAAAAAGCAGGGGTGTTGTGACTGTGATCAAGCGGCCTATTGCGTGCCGATTTAACTTGAGACGTTCAGCAAAGACGCCAACGTTAAAGGCTACAACAACAAGTCCTCTGAGTCCAGTCGGCGCATGTTAGTGACGCAACACGTGTGAACAACTGTTCTTCAGCCTGGGCAGTGAGTGCATAGAAATGGAGCAGTGGTTCTCAGGAATTCCCTACTGTCGCAAAGTCGCGAACCACTTGTTTGGATGTTAAGAACAATAAATAACATGTTTTTTCAAAATACTTCACTGTATATAATTTTTAAAAATGACGATGCATACATGGTCAAAGTGCGTTTCCCAACACATAATAAAGTGAGCATGTTAAATTCGTTATTGCTTTGGCTCAATCTGAAGACCCCAGGCGAGCCAGTTTAAATGCAGAGGTGGCAAAAGCATTCTGCAAATACAGTCCCTTCCCAAAGTATTGGAAGGTCAAAATCACTTCCTTTGTTTTGTTTTCTGTTTCAGATCAAAATATGAATATGAGACGAAATTTGAGTAGTCCAGATTTTATTTTATGGTATTTACATCTAGATGCGTACTGTAACACAAATGAGGACACAGCACCTTGTTTGAAGCCAAAAACTGCATCAAGCCTGTGACTCATTGAGTTCACCAGATCGTTTCATCCTTCATTTGAAATTCTTTTCCAGGCCTTTACTGCAGTCTATTTAAGTTCTTGTTTGTTTCTGGGGGTTTCTCCCTTCAGTCTCCTCTTGAGGTCAAAGGCATGCTATGTAGGGTTAGTCTGGTGATTGATTTGACCAATGTAAGACATTTCAATTATAAGTGGATGCACACTTGTGCACCAACATCTCAGTTGTTTAACTACCTCCCCAAAAGATTAAATCAAATCCAATTGAGGTGTTGCAATATGTTTTTTTTTAATTATTTGTTTTATAACACAAAACATGGCATTTGAACAGGGGTGTGCAGACTTTTTTTTTGGAATGTTGTGTTGTCATCTACAGAGGTGGAATAAGCAGTATAGTCAATGGATTGATGGAATTCAATATTTATAAGCAGAGTGGCGGTGGAGGGGTTAGCGCATCTGTCTCACAGTGAGAGGTCTCAGCTCAGATCTTCTTGGGTTTGCATGTTCTCCTCATGTTTTCTCCATGCACTCCAGCTCGGGGCAAATCTGGCATACTTTTTGAACACTCTAAAATTGTCAATGCAGTAAACATGAGTGGAATTTATTTTGGGGGGAGGGTGGCCGGGGTGTCTATACAGGATATGCCCTGTGATTGTCTAGCAACCACTTCAGGATGTACACTGCTGATTGCCCAAAGTCAGCTTGGATTGGCTTGCGCCCACCGGTGACTCGAATTAGTTTCGAGTTATATTAGTTCATAGAAAATAGATTGATGAATAGAATAGTCATGAAAGTAAATGCTAGGCAGCAAATCCTGGTGTGATTCAGGTCATTCTGAAATTCTTCACAAATACATACAAAAACATTATGCTACATTTCAGACCATTGAGAACTCATGAAACAGATTTACTGTAATTTTTCCAGTGCAAGTTCAAGCTGCTGAAGCTTTTGCTTCAATATTGTTTCTGTGAATATCAGACCAACCAAAATAATGTTTGATATTTACTTTGGGTCTTTGCCACTTATGTTTTAGACTGTCGCACATCTATCCATTCCATCTTGGTGTTTTGTAATGCCTGAGTCTTCTTCTCATCCACCAGCACGTAATCCACCCGGTGTTCATCAGACAGAAGAGGCTTCTGTGGAGACACATGAGCAGAATCAGGTGAGGTAAATGTCAAAGGTCAAGTTGAATATCCCCACTGTGGTTGTGTCATCCATTGCACCTTCTGGACAGGAGAAGGAGAAGCTGAATTGAAATCCAGTGACAAGTAGTCAAGGTTTGATCGTCTTGCCCAAGGTTGAATGACTCCTTCGACATTGAGGGAGAAGTGTTTTCTTGACTCCTGCCATTAGAGAAATAGCTGAAGTCATCAACGTTCCAAGTTTATGGTATGTAAAAAAAAAAAAACAAACACATTTCTATTGCAATGGTTGAGCTGCTGAAGAGCTAAAACAAAAACAAAAAACAAAAAATAAAAATAAAAAAACGGCCAAACACGAAGAAGAGGGACATTAGTGCATTGATGACTCTGATTATTATTTTTTAAATGCAAAGCTACAAAATACAGACCTACATTATGGGAAATTATGAGAATTACAATTATGTCATTCTGTAACCTGTATTTTAGTCAAGGCTTTAAATGTGTGCAACCCACACATAAATGTGATGAGAATATGTTGTTCCTTCAAAAGATATTTTACCATTGTGGCACAGTTTGGGTCTTCTTCATCTGTGGCCCCATTCTCGAGACTTCCTTCATAAGTTGCAGAAAAGTTGAAACTACAGCAGAGAAAAAAAAATAGAATGAAGAATCTTCTTAGCTATGTTTTGGTCATTTATTTAAATAGCCTCTTAAGTGTTGAAATAATGGAAGTCAAATGTTGTTCTACCCCAATTTGTAAATTTAATAAAAACTTGAGATTTTTTTTTCTTTCAATAGCAACTCTTTAAAAATCCAATAGCTATGTTTACATTACAAAAGTTTTTTTTTAATGATATAACATGCATGAATAAACCTCAAGATGCAAGTTCCAATCAGTCTCACCATGAATCAGTCATTGTTCTGCTCAAAGGATGATGAGCGGGACATTCAGTGATTGTCGAGAGGCCTCTCAAATCAAGAGGTGGGGGTCGAGCTGTGAATCCAGAGAGGACAGCAAGGTCTTTAATATGGTCTGAAATGCAAACAGAGGTCTGACATTTGCATTAACAACTGCCTATTTTTAGCAAAGCCCCAAAAGATTACTCCAATTGGGTGCAGTACCTTATGCACACATTTCAAAACATTCAGACCGCTGTCACGTTTACCTCTCCTCAAGCAAGGTTTAAGATGTCGGTGTATCGGAGGAGGTGGAAATTCTCCCGGTTGGCACATGAGGGAGCTGAGGGTCTTTGAGGCCTTGACTTTGCTGTTTGTATCGGCAATGCTGATGGGGCTCATGGGAATGTAAGCATCACCTTCAACGGTGCTAACACATGAAGAGATGGAAACCATGGGGATGTAGGACTCGTCTTGCTGGCTTTGAACCTGTGTGGGATTTAAAGAGGACTTCTGAAAGATAGAGATCACAAGGGAATCCGGATGTCACTCATCTAAGTGGGGAAGATGTGTGGCCACACAGTTGTGTTCAGTCTATTGTCTCATCTAGTGGCCCGGGGCACTTACTCAACTGCAGAGGCGTCTATGAGGAGTGAGACCATATGTCTATGTCTGTAGTGCAGGTAGTTTGTGCTGGCCATGATGTCGGTTAAAATGGCAAACATTTTTTGAGTTTGTATATGTATGAAAATTTTGAGAAAAAAATACACTGTGGTCAGTTGTACAGTCTCTTGTTGTGGAGCAGAATTTTAGGATAGCCTTAATTTGTGTTTCAGCAGTATCGAGATTATGAAACACCTTTAGATGAACGTCAAGTATACCCTACGCTGCATTAATATGAGGTAAGCATTTTATTTGTTGTTATCGTAATACTGACTGACTAGAATGCCACTCTGTAGACTTTGTTTAAAAAGATGCATTTTAGGACTCTACATTATCCATAGGCGTGAATGTGAGTGTGGATGGTAGTCCGTCCTCATGTGCGCTGCGATTGGCTATGACTAGTCCAGTGTGGACTCTCGCCCAAAGTCAGCCGAGATTGGCTCCAGCCGAATGGTGACCCTTGTGGGAAGAGGAGCCGTGTAGAAAATGCATGGGGAACTGTTAAAGCGTAAAAGCTTTCTTTGTCTATGATCCTTTGTGAACGTGCACTACCAGTCAAGACTTTGGCACTGTGCTGTTATTTTGCGTGTTATCTGACATTTTTCTTCTTATGCTTTTATCACTGAAAAAAAAATGCTGTGTTCAATTTAATCAATTTAATTTTGTCAAGTGGTTGTCGCCAATACAATCATCTGGATCTATATACATTGTTAAAGTACATGTGTACTCTATTTATGTCAAACTGGCCTCTCTCCATCATTCAATAGACCGAGCTTGTGCTGCCCATGGCATGATTGTCTTACCAAATTAAGAGTCTGCCTTCTATTCCCTGTTGATCTGCTGTCAGCATCTCCTGAAAAAAAAAGAAACTGCTGAATACAAATTATTTCCCCATCTGGCCACGTCAGTTTGCATGCTGCCCCAGAATACCGCAAAGAGGACTTTCAATCTGATTTTCCTCTCAAAGCATACCAATCGTGAAATGGTCCAGGCTTGACAATGATGTCCTCCGGGAAAGCAGTGCAGCATGTTTTGGGAAATGCCGTGCACTCATTGCCCTCGGCCTGCGAATGCCTTCATCGGACAGATGGTTCGGTTTAGGTGGCAGCGGAGGAGGTGTTTGCCTGTCATTCGCGGACTCAAATGACGCACAGGAGTACGGTTTGTCAAATCGGAAGACGCTCATGGCACAGAGGTGCAGTGGAGATGAGGAAGGTGGTGCGAGGGAACTACATGGAGCGCTGAGAGGAGGGTTGCTCAGCATCCCATGTGCAAAAGGAGATGGACTGAGGCGAAACTGAGAAATGCAGTGAAATGATGAGGAATCACTGCAGGGAGGGGAGGGCACGATGTCCTTGAAAACATCTTCTGTCGACTTCTGCTCCAAAGAGGTCTCTGAGATTGAAAAACTGCTCTGTCTGCAGATACAAGGGTGTCAAAATCAATGAAAAATATGAACTTTTTTTCATCTCGTGATTTTGTGCAAGAGGTTTTTACATGCCTACAAGTGCTTCCACTCCCCGTCCCGCATTGTGAAAGGACAAGATAATCTGGTGGGTGACTGGAGTCCTGATGACTTGACCGAGACACCCGGTCAGAGCTGTCACTTGACGGCTGAAGTGAGGTCGAAGTGTGAGGAAAGCCTTCTTCTGAACTTCCTGTTGAGAAAAAAAAAACAACAACGGACAAGTGGCACTGAGAACGTGTTGTTTCTGAATTTGTACTAGCACAAAGGTGACAAGAGTGACACCAAAAGGCAAAATAGTGCAACTCTAGCAAAAAAAAAAAAAAAAAAAAAAGCAAAACTATCTTAATCCAAACTAGAAACATAAAGTTGGATTTTTATTTTTATTTTTATGAAGTATATAAAGGTGATCGCTCTCTTTATTCTCTCTTTATTGTCTCTTTTATTTGAATAATTTCTACTTGGGTCGTCAAGTTGGACTGTCTTCAGAAATTCAAGGCCTTCTCGTCAAAAGGTACAGCACACACACACACACACACACACACACACACACACACACACACACACACGTACACGTACACACACGAAAACATCTTTGCATATTCTCATAAAAAATTTCAGCAACAATCGATGCAACCTTTTACAATATATTTTTCACTCGTTATTAAGGGCACTGAAGTTGAACTCTTGACAATGATCAACCAAAAGACAAAAGGTCAAACGCCAACAGCAAACAAGAACAATCCCGTTGACTCGATTCAACCTTTGACTTTCTAGACGATGGCTTTAAATTACACAAACCTTGTTCAAGGCATGTTGACGGTACTGACAATTTCATTCAAATGCATGCATGTCATTGCATCATACCCTCTTGAACTGAGCCGTACCATATCAAGTCGAATCGTAAGCCCACTGGGGGGAACCGAATTGAATCACTCTACTTTCAAATGAAAGAGAGAGACAGAGAGAGAGAGAGAGAGAGAGAGAGAGAGAGAGAGAGAGAGAGAGAGAAAGAGAGAGAAAGAGAAAGAGAAAGAGAGAGCGCTTTGCATGATATCTGTACCGTACCTGCTTCCTCATGGTTGCCAAACTGGCAAATGTGGCTGATGCTGCTGATCCAGCTGTTCATCTCCTCTTCAGTCTTGGCCACCAGGTAGAACATACGAGCAGAGGTCTTCACCACAAACAGATGCTTTTCTGTCAAGTCACGCTTTATCCCAAGTTGCCCATTCAGCATTTCCACCTCGCACTCTTTCAGGTCAATGGTGCGGATTGGCTTTTTGGAACTTTTACTTTGGTAGTATTCCAACACATCGGGGTTACCGCTCATGCGCCCTCTTCGCAAGACAAACCAACGTTTTCTCCAAGCCTGCAGGAGAGAAGGTGAATTTGCCCTTTGGCCCGTTTTTCAAATACAATTCTGGGTATCATACATTGAGACAGTCTACTGGTACAGTAATGAAACACCCATCAGCACCTTTTTAGTCATGAGCATGCAGTCATGGGAACTAGATCACAGCTTACATGGCAACTTTAAATTCAATTTTTTTTTTTTTTTTGGTACGGTCACTAAGCGGAACATTTTGCTCAAATTCCCCACATAGAAGAGGAAGTTGACTGTATTTAGCAGAAAATGTTTGACACAACAAAAGAAAGACGTATGTACTACTTCAAAATTGATGACTGCTCTCTAATTAGGAAACAAGACTGAAAAGAGTTTTAACACATATTTCGTAGCAGAACTACATGTTGGATGTGACTCCTGCTGCATTTCATCGTCAGACATGAGATTTTTCTAAATGGCACGTTCTAAATTTACAGGAACTTTAACGCTGAGCGCTTGATTGTATTCGGTATTTTCACACTTGGTTTTGTGGCTTCGTTTTCATCAACTTTTTTTCTTTGTGTGAGACTTATCTGCTCCTGCACGTCAGTTGGTACCAGGAAGTGGTGAGACTAACCACAATTCCTATCAATACCGCCCAATTTATGGGAAAGTAAGACCAATGTTGGTGATCATCTGACCTTTTGAGAGATTGGCATACTTCAAATAATAATTTCCTTTCGCTATGTTGTGGCTTTCAAAGAAGCATGCTAATCTTTGAGCAAATGATGCACTATAACATCTAGAAGAGGATTATGGAGGGGCGGGGTGGACCCGATTGAATTCAAGTTAATTTTCCAAATGAATTAAAAGTAACTACAGGTGCAAATACAATTACATTGAACCACCAGTAGCTTATTACAGCCAGAAAACAGGCAGATAAATTGTATGATCAGATAGTTACTTTGTTTTTTTCATGCTTTTACATCATCACTCCAGCATCAGTAGAGCCACCCGGAATATAATAATGCCACCAATGTCCCATCTGTTCATCATCCTGCATGAACCAAAATGTGGCCTATTAACTAACAAACAAAACAAATATGCTCCCTTCAAAAAATGTTGATACAAACTTTTGTGACCACTTTAACCTTTAGTGGCATTCGAATGAGATAAAGTCATGAGAGCATTGCAAGCAACACGTTGATGATGGGTGTCTCTCTAGTATGATGAACGTGTAACTGAAAAGTCAGCCACATACAATTTGACACGCTATGCAGGAAAATTTATGTTTATATAAAATTAGGCCGAAATCATTGTGTTTATACATAGTGGGTTGGACCTGAGACAAACAAAGTCTTAAGTCTTTTCACGCAGAGACTGCAACAGAACAACAATTTGGGAAGCTTTTGATGTCAAGGATGAAGAATGGCCCGCGGTCAGACACGGCCTGTGGGGACATTTGAGCTACACCACAATTCCAATTCTTAAAACAAATGAAAGATCAGAGGAACTAAGAGTCCATCATCATTTGGCAACTTTTTTTTCAACATTTGTTCAACCATTGCATTATATGTTTTCATAAATGAAGTCTCGCCCATCGACGACTTTGTAGAAACTGAACTGGCGCCTGACAGGAACAAAGTTCCCTACCCTTGCTTTATGTCATCTGATCCCATTCCATCATATAAACCGAGATAACAGATATTTTCATACTGCTGAGGGTATTTGAATAATAAGACACGCTGCGCTCATCAACATGCCTGGAATCTGTCATCTGGCACCAGAAGAACTGCTCTGGTGTCCTTCAATAAGTTTCATTTTCTCGCCTTCAACCAACACAGACCTTCCACCGCACTTGTTTTGACAAATTTCCCTCCTCCTCCTTTTCGCACAGAGGAAGTGCAAGCAGCCCATCAAAAAGCAGGACTATTTCTGCTAGCTGCTCATGACTGATGTCTGGCTGGGCTGACATGACTTCCCATGTTTCACAATGCATGTCCTCCTTGCACCCAAAAGATGCAGTCAGTGGCTAAGCCCAAGATCACATGACCCCAACAACTGCATGCCGATCAAGGCGACGTGCTGTTTACGATTTTATTTGTTGCACAAGTTGTTTTCCATGATTTGTGATTTATTGCTCCTGTCATAATTACATGTGGTCATAATAACGGCAAGCATGAGGAGAAAAGAATAGAAAGGAGCCTGAATGGCAGCTCTGAGAATATATGGATATATTTCAAATCATTAATATATACATACTGTATAGAGAATGCACACGGACAGACAGACAGACACACACACACACACACTGTCGCACAAGGCTCAATAGCACAGGGTGGCATTTCTGCTGTCAGTCTGCTGCAGTGGTACGAAACAAAAACAAGTGTCCGGTGTGTGCTTCTACTCACAAATCGCTTGAGTTTTTTCTCCGGGGGAGATTTAATGAGCCAGCCAGAGCAGACCACATCCCCAGCACTCATCTTGACTGCAGAGCGTGTCGTCCTCTATGCTGCTGCTGCTGCTGCTGCTGCTGCTGCAACTGCTGCTGTTGCTGTTGCTGTGAAACTGAGAGCAAGCATATCCTGTGTTCTAGCATTCAGCCCAGCCACTCCAAAAGGAGGAAGTCAAAAAATTGATTACACTAACAGAGAAAAGAGGAGTGAAAGAATCATCTGTTTACGTTACCAAGAAAGTGTGAAGCTTTTCAAATAAAAACTGAAAACTAAGCAGGGGACGGTGAAGTTGTACTGATAAGGGACAAACTCGATATCCTGCTGTTGAAAGACTTCATCCTGAATGCAGTGTTTACTTTTTCTAGTATATGACATTTCTGAATATTTTTGTGCAAGTGTGATATACAATAATGGGTTCTTTTCCACTGCTCAATCATTGCTGACATATGAAGATCAGTAAATAATATGATAGGACTCCATTTAATTCAAGTCATGAAAAAAAGTTTTTAAATGTAAATGTCTCAGTCGTAAGTTGTGTTTGTTTACTTATACCTTTTATTGTCCAGGCTCTCCACACACTGTAAATATGCACAAGCATCTGATTCGTCACGTTTTGTGTTTATATGAGGTTCCATTCAGGGTAACGACATCATAAAAATGCCTCTCGGACAGGGGTGTCAATCTATTTTTTGTCGTGGGCCACATCGTAGTTATGGTGTCCTTCGGAGGGCCGTTAAGACTGTGAACCCAAATACAGTATACATATGCACAGCAAATTGATTAATAACTAGTTTTGAAATAAGAGGTCAGTAAATATGGTCCGTTCGAATATTATTACATATATAAAAGTGGTCTTGGTTAGAAAAATTCTTGCGATACATCAAAGTTTTTAAAAGTGAAGACAATTTGCCATTTTGGTATCCAAGCAAGAAACTTGAAGTCGATGCACATGATTTCCTTTTGCAGGCCACATAAAATGACATAGCGGGCCAGATCTGGCCCTCGGGCATTGAGTTTGACACCTGTACCCTAGTGGTTCCTGCAAGTGTAACATCTGTTTTTAAAGTAAAACGGGAGAATTCCAAATGACTGACTAATGTTGAGTTTATATGAAAATGTATAAGTAATATGAATGTTAATGCCTGTATGGATGTATGTTAATGACCTTTTTTATGTATTTTTTCGTAGCAAACGTAAGACCAGCATTGCCAGAGTTTTTATTTTTCGACCACTAGGTTACCCCAGTGAGTAAGTCATTACCGCACAACCACTTGCGATGTCGACGTGTACCGTTCAAATATGGCTGCCGTGAGACGCATGCCAAGAGCCCTCAAGAGGCTGGCTGCGGTGTGTTTCGCCATGGACAGGCTTGATATGGAAACTAGTCCCTCATTGGCTTACAGTGGACACGGGGCTGATTTCCACCAATCAAAACTGTTGTAAATATCAATGACGTTGGGCCAGAGATCTTCAAAGAAGAGAAACCATTTATGTCTGACTCAAGTTCACTCAGCGTCGAACTGACATTACATTTACATATATTGACTGTGATTTGTATTTTCAATAATGGAAAATAAAGCGGTGGATAAATGACAGCATGGTTATTTCCGACTGTAAGGGCATCGACTTAACCCAGCAAGTTTCGGCGCCACCTTTAGTTATGACCCTTCCGAGCTGTGTCCCTCTTGGGCAGTTTAAGCTCTTTACAAATTACCCATGATTCCTCTGAAACGTGTGACCTGTCTCTGGCCTTGTGCAGCGCCGCAGGTAGCAGGACCGTATGCAGGCGGTGGTAGGATTAGATAACTAAGTAGCAATAGTGCACAAACCTGACAGGTCTGCAAGTGAAGAAGGAATTGATAAAGAGCGGAGTTGCCACAATGCTTAAATGTAGAACCGTGTGGAGAAAGCTTGCTCCTCTTGCCAGAGCCTCGTCAACACTTTGTCGGCAAAATGTAAAGAGAACAGGTATGCCAAAACCACAAAAGCTTGCAGAAATTCTTATTGGCTCGTTGAAGCACTTTTTAAAATCAGCTAATTAACGATACTAGTTATTGCCCTGTGTGTTCTCGTTTTCCTCTCCGGGCTACCAATTTGACGACTTTTAGGTAGAAGTGTGACCTTCAATTCCCCGATAAAGAGCTAAAGTAGCCAGCCAGTGAACGGTGATATTACTTTCAGCCCCTGTGTTATTTCTCTGCTTGACTAAAAGTGTCAGGGGTTTGTTTTTGGCTAACGCGGAGCCAATTGTGGTTTGACATTTAGGACTGTAATCGATCTAACTAGATGTTTATTGTTATGGTCGTATTGTGCAGTGGTGTGACAGCTGTTTCGAATCTTGTGATTTCGTGTACAGTATTAGGCGCAAAATCATCTTTGCAAAGGCAAAGTGATGATGCAGGTCTTCAGTGCAGGCATGTCTAATGTTGTGGTCTTTGAATATGTCGATAACGTTTCTATAGAATTATTATTATTATTTAAAAATGCCATATTTCTACACCTCAAAATGGGCACCATAAGTGTATTGTGTATCGCCATAAATTTCGTGGGCTGTGCAGAAAAGGATGGACTGTAGTTTTACTGAATCCACACACTATCTGCTTGTGCCTTTTCTTAAGGAGGAGCCATTTTTAGAGGTTCAATTTACAGAACATATCTAATGCACAAATGAAATATAATTAAAATCATCATTATAACATTACGCATATAATGTAGAACAAATCTAAATAGTGTTTTTTTAAATGCATGATAGAGACTTTGTGCAAATGCTGTAATGTCAGAAGGATGTATTAAGTAGTAGCCCAAATACTGTATGCCATTTTCTCACCATTCACCAACATCCCAAAAGACTTGATAGCAACTGTGAAAACCGATCAAGATGGTGCATTGCACATTTGTTTTCAGGTTTGCACAATGCCAGACTACCTGCACATGTACCTACGGCTCATATGGCGACAGGGCCTGCAAGGGGCGGTGGGGAAAACCAGCTGTATGTCCTTTTAGTTGGGGCAACCTGCCTTGGTGGAGCAATATACGTGAGTGAGCTCATCTTTACGGTGCATGTAACAAGTACACACACCTCTGTTCAAATACCATTTTTTTGTGTGTAAAAATTGAGACCAAGGCAATTTCCATAACTTTTTCCACCATCAATTGGAATGCGCTCTAGATTCTAATCCTACCTGTTTGTATCCTTCTGTAGTCAGTACAGTTGATGGTGTGGATTGTTTAACTGTATAGCGCAATAATTCTGCTGTCTTCCCAGACATACAGAACTGTTAAAGGAGACCAGCATCGATATGAGGAGCGAATTGCAGAAATTGAATCTCGACCACATCGAAGCACCAAAGAAGCAACCACTACCGTCCAGATGGAAGCTCCTGGTTAGAAAATTTGATTTTTATTGCTGTTGATTGTTGTTGCAACCCACCTTTATCTGTGACTAAGTATTTATACTGTCAGTTTTTTGAAGCCACAGAGACCATTGAAACAGAAGGTAGATGTAATAAAACGTGTTTCATATCGATTATAAGGAACACAGAGAATATAGATTTGGTTTCATGTAAAGAGAATTATTATTATGATTCTTTCCTTTTTTTTTTTTACATTTTTGGGGAAAACGAGTAGACTCGCCCCAGTCAGCAGGACTCGTTCCAGTTTCCTCTGTTGAAAGTATTGAAACACATACCAACCATCATCCGTCCATTTTGGAAAATGCTTCTCCTCAATAGGGTTGTGGGAGCTTGAGCCTATCCCAGCTACCTTTGGGTGAGAGGTGGTTTACTTACTGGTCACGAGCCAGTCGCATGACACATATAGACAAGCAATTATTCACTCTCACATTCCCACATGTGGACAATTTAGAGTCTTCAAATAACGCAGAACACATGATAGTGGAATATGGGAGGAAGCCAGAGTGCACTCACTCAGCCTGAACAGTACAACGCCGATTTTTTTTTCCAAGTCTCTGGGCCTCTTTCATTGCGGATAGAAATCCGAAATGTATCCGATGCGTTTGTAGTATGATTCTTCATTCGCATAAATATTACCTATACATCATCAAAAAAAAATATGTCCTCCGCGTCGGGAGGGAAGAGTGCTTGGGAAACTATTGACAATCACTGTTGTAATTTTATTTGACTTGAATGTAATCTCACCTGGAACATGAAGCGTAAAGTGGACATTGGAGCTGATAGTCGAGGTTTATTGATGCAGACGGTTCGTTACGCTCGGCAACGACTTGACGTCATCTCTAGTAGATGTTTCCATGAAATGAGGGGATCGAAGAGTGTGGTCTCATGTCTCCGAAATATTTCTACCTCCTCCCACCTCGCTACTGGCGATATGAGATAAGATAAATGTGTGCATCTATGACAGCGTCAGTTGGAACTGAACGCTGTCTTTGTAAACAGCCCAGAAAGCGAGTTGTATTGAGTCGTAAAGACTGTGGTACTCGTTTGTCACTCAGACGTTCCTGAATCAGAAGCTCAAGCCACACCTTCGCCAGAAGAGTCGAGCCCTCCTGCGCCTGATGCTGAGACAGCAGCCCCAAGTGAGACGACTGAACCTCCACAAGGTTATTTGCTGACTTTTCTATTTCATGTCTGTATGAAATGTGGCCTCGTGCCTAAAAGTTTAGATTAATTTAAAATGTACATTAGTCATGGTTTTGAGTCAAAAAAAATTTTTTTCTGTGCAGAAACTCATATTGCAGTTTAGAAATATATTGTGACACCAACTGGTCAATTTGGGTAATGCAGTTTGATGGAGCTCCCTAAATTTGGAATTCAGCCAAAATTATATTAGTAGTAGTACTTTGATGATTATGAAAAATGTAAAGCATCCCTTAACGCTTTAGAAGCTTGAGTCTTTTCAATAAAATATTCCATTTTGATATCACTCTTTCAAAAGTTTGGGGCTTGAAAATGGTTGGAAGTTAAAGGTGTACTATAAATGTCGTTTGAGGCTTCAAGGGTTAAAGTGTTTATTTACGTCCAAGCATGGTGACAGTTTGACTTGCAGATTGTTTCAATTTCTATTATTTGCTGGGACTGCTGCTGCATTTGGATTAAAAGGGAACTTTTACAACATAACGTTCAACTCTGTGAAAATGTGTTATGACATGCAGGAAGTGGTTGACTTGAACTGGGCAGCATCCAGCTATAATTCACTAGACGATCGCATGGTCTGTATTCATATTGCCTCGGCTAGCAAGCGCATGAGTCTTCATGCTCCTCCCCGTTTAATAGTAATCTAAAGTTCTAAATCTAAACTCAACAGCAGATGAACCTGTATTAGAAGCGGCTCCAAAAGTGCTGCAGAAGCGCCTGCTGAGCCGCTAGTTGAGGAGGGTAAGATGTAAAGAAAGGATATGACGTCCTTTATGCCATATGTGAGGGCATGCCAGCAATTTAGTTGCCTGTATTGACCGAGACAGTAAAATACCTCCAGTCACAGTCACAGGCTAACAACTAATATTACCACTCTATTACCAGAGCCCTCCCCGCTGTCCGAGCCAGGCCCAGGCGAACAAACCGACCCGTCCCCGGCGACTGGTAAGCATGGAACCGGTGATGTACACCTGTAACATCTTTGACGCTTTATTTTGTCTTCACTGCTTATGCCGCTCCGGTCACACCAACAGAACCCGCAGCAGCTGGAAGCCCTGCAGCAGAGCCGTCTGAGCCGCAGGCTGATGTGACAGAAAGTGGTAAGACGTGATTCCGCAATATCTGAAACAAAAAAAAAACGACATTAGACAGCGATATTTTTGATCATGTTAATTTCTCTGCCTTTTGGTTTTTTTAACATTTCTTTTCTCACAGTTTCCTCAAACTTTTTTTTTTAGTCTGCTGGCTAATTTCTCTTTGCTCCTAACAGGTTTATGGGTGCAGGTTAGCCACCATTCACTGACTCTTTCTCTCTCTCCCTGACATGCAAGCTGCAGGACTCGACACTGCACAGCCCTCACTGACTCTGCCGTCACACGCCCCCTACCTCCTCATTGGCGGAGGCACTGCCTCCTTTGCTGCTGCCCGCTCTATTCGAGCCAGAGACCCCGGCGCCCGCGTGAGTTTGCGTTCGGCTTCAAAGTAGCTTCATATCCCTTTGTCTGTAAGCTGAGATTTTTGTCTCTCACCTTAACTATGACCTCGACAAACAGGTTCTGATTGTGACGGACGAGCCGGACCTCCCGTACATGAGACCGCCTCTGTCCAAAGAGCTGTGGTTCTCCGATGACCCCGCTGTGACAGATACACTACGTTTCAAGCAGTGGAATGGAAAAGAACGAAGGCATGTCACCTTATCTGTCCAGTTCGTGCTATTTACCATGAAAACAAAATTCTAACCTCTTATCAGAAAAAGCGAACCGCATTTTGTCAACTAATCAGACGGCATGCTACAGTGGGGAGCAATTAAAAGTTGACGTTGACTACTTCTTTTTATCTTCCAGTATCTACTTCCAACCACCATCGTTTTACATTACTCCGGAGGAACTGAGTAATGCAGAAAACGGAGGCGTGGCTGTTCTCACAGGCAAAAAGGTTGGTTGGGCATTGTTTCTGTTTTGCATGAAAGTCATTTATTTAAGGCTTTGTCCAAAGGCATTTGATTAGAGTGGGGCGGGTTGACTTTCAAAAGCTTTTTGGCTACATGTAGATATCGCCGAATTATTGACATATTAGTAAACAACCTTGGTGGAGGTAAATTGTGCTGATCTGATTTTTGACAAGCAAAAAATATTTCATTGCAGGTTGTTCACATGGATGTGAGGGGAAACAAAGTAAAACTAGACGACGACACAGAAATTTCATACGACAAATGCTTGATTGCTACAGGTATGTCGCATCAGCATACTCATGTCCTCTGAGCAACTGTTTGCACTTTGTAGAAGCTAATTTCAAGTTCTGTAAGGTGGTGTTCCAAGAAATTTGCAAGTCATCGACCGAGCAGGAGAGGACGTGAAGCAGAGGACAACTTTGTTCCGTAAGGTCAGTGTCATCATCAAAAAAGCAGTGCTGGAGATTTATCCTGATAACACGCGTTGTAGTCTTTCATTTTACAATTCAAATAAAATCATAATAAGGTGAGAGGCGGCCGAATGTGACAACAACCACAACAACATCATTCTGCATTTTCTCCACTCCAGATTGATGACTTCCGATCCTTAGATAAAATCTCCAGGACCATCAAGTCCATCACAATCATCGGAGGCGGCTTCTTAGGCAGCGAGCTGGCCTGTGCCCTTGGCAGGAGATGTAAGATAAAGATCATGAAGAGGAGAAAACACTTGACGCAGCAAGTTACTCATGACTTCTCCCATTTCAGCTCACGATTCCGGTCTGGAGGTCATACAGATGTTCCCCGAGAAGGGCAACATGGGCAAAGTTCTGCCCGAGTATCTCAGCAACTGGACGACCGAAAAAGTCAAAACAGGTCTGCCTCTGTTTTGCATTGCAGCTCATCTAAATGTCCTTTCGTTTCCATTGGGCAACATTCTCAATTTGATCTCCTAGAGGGTGTAAAAATCATCTCAGAAGCTCTCGTCAAGTCCGTGACATGTAATGAGGATCAGTTAGAAATAAAACTAAAGGATGGTCGATTGGTAAGTCCAGTGTAATTCAGAGACTTTTTAAAAAATGTTTATGTCTTACTCAACCATCCATGCTTCATGTCTTAGGTAAAAACTGACCACGTCGTTGCAGCTGTTGGGCTGGAGCCCAATGTTGACCTTGCCAAGTCTGCAGGTCTGGAGGTGGACTCAGACTTTGGCGGTTATCGTGTCAATGCAGAGCTGCAAGCTCGGTCCAACATTTGGGTGGTAGGTTCAACGTTTAAAAACTACTGCTTCAGTAAACCACTTGTTTATCATTATTTAGAAGAGGATAAATGTCAGTTGTAAACAAATATTTATTTTTGCATGAGTAAACTCAAAATGATGGCTTAGATTATAAATGGCGAATGATTACGCAGAAAAGAATTGGCCATCAGTTGCGGGACGTTAGCGCCCTCTTGTGATGAACTGAAGTCATGGCACCAAAAAGAAAGGTCTACCAATTGAGATGCAACACTAGATTTTTTTTGTTTGTTTTCCATTTGATTTCATTTTTAAGAGTAAAACCTCTGTGTGCTGTAATGTAAAAACGCTTTCAGTCTAATCCAAGCCGATAATGCTGTCGGGTGTCCTCGTTCATTCAGGCGGGAGACGCCGCCTGCTTCTACGACATAAGGCTGGGCCGCAGACGGGTGGAGCACCACGACCATGCTGTTGTCAGTGGCCGACTGGCCGGGGAGAACATGACGGGAGCCAACAAGCCTTACTGGCATCAGTCTATGTTCTGGTGCGTATTAGCAAGTGAACAATGTTTTTATTTATAGACATTTGGTAGCAATTGGCTTTCTGAAAAGCGTAAATATATTTCATAAATCTGTTTAATCTGATGCACTTTTCTTCTTCTTATCTTTGACTTGAACAACTCAATTATATTCTAATTTATTTGAATGCAACCTGCATAGCTATGTCTTACGTTGGAAGTTTGTATTTATCTATCGTTCGATTGATTGATCGTGGTATCCACATTAGGCAGATGCTTGGCTACTGTAAAGTCTTTGTGTCCCAATATTGCGTAACAGGAGTGACCTGGGTCCTGACGTCGGATACGAGGCCATCGGGATTGTGGACAGCAGTTTGCCCACTGTGGGGGTCTTTGCCAAAGCCACAGCCAAGGATACACCAAAAGCTGCCACCGAGAAGTCAGGTATGAGCAGTAATAAAATATCTAATGGTATTCCTCACTCTTCTTTCATACCCCGACCACGTTTCCAAATGTTTTGACGATTGCGTTGCAGGAACTGGCATCCGCTCAGAGAGTGAAACGGAGGCCGTGGCATCGAGTGCCGTGGCCTCCCCTACACCTGCTCCCGCCGTGATGCACAAAGACGACTACGGCAAAGGAGTCATCTTCTACCTGCGAGACAAAGTGGTGGTGGGCATCATCCTGTGGAACGTTTTCAATCGGATGCCCATCGCGAGAAAGGTCAGTTATCTTATATAAGTAGCACAAAAGGTAATTTCAAGATCAGAGGGTTTTTTTTTTTTAGACATCTTTTTTTCCATATGTAGATTATCAAGGATGGAGAGGAACATGCAGACCTAAATGAAGTTGCCAAGCTGTTTAACATCCACGAGGATTAGGACTTTGGAGACCATTGGCAATGGAGTGAAACATTTTGTGAACTTTGTCCTTTACAATAGCTGAACGTTTCTGGAAATTGTATCATTTCACCAAATTATTTTCATACTACAGTTGAAATTTCAAAGTATTGACCAGAATTCCTTACTCCCGTGCAATTTGTCCCCGCCCTAAAAAAAAAGAAAGCACTGTTTCGCCTTGGTACAAACATTTCTCTCTCAAACTCCTGGTCACAGTGTCATGGTCACACAACATGGCGTCGCAGCAGCTTGTTGAGAGAAAGCCTGAAATAAAATCTATTTTTAAATCCGAGTTATCCCCTTATTCTCGCATTGGCACTAATGTGAGATGCGTTGACCTCAAGGGATTGTTGTACTCTGTGTGCTCAAGTTCAAGATGGAGCAAAACGGATGTAGGCAGCCACCCTTGGACTCATGTCTGTTCATAAACAATTAAATAAGCATGTCGTTTAAGTAAGAATCAAACCGATCCGCTGTGCTGCGGCCGTAGACCGAAGCGCCATGGCCTACTTATGTTGTCTGGAGGTAAAAAAACAAAAAAAAACGCTCAAGCATGCAGAAACGGTTTTCTTATTCTCTTTTGAGTTCCCCCGTTATTAGTAATACATCCCTGTTTACTCATCCCACGCATTTCTTATTCTATTTGACACTGAAGGCTCCAGAGCCAATTGAGGCAGACTTGCAGCAATAATGGGCCGTCTCTTCGTTTCCTATTCGTTTTACATGATCAAGTGGATGGAGCAATGAACACGAGCTTCCACATTTATATTTACATTTTTTTTTCTCCCCCTCGCTCATTCAAAGATGCACCCAGCAAGCCGGAAACATCGGACATCTCTGCTTGAGGTGGAAAAATCTAATATCCACTGCTACCAATAGAAATGTGAGCTTGTGCAGCAAACATTGTGCAAAATTCCTTGTAACTGCTTAAAATGTAATACTTGATTTTGCGCAAAACAACATCAGCTCCCAAAACTGGACCAAAGGGGTCCGGGAGAACCTTTAAGTTGAAGTATCATTTAAAATGTGTCAAAATAGGGCATGTGGATGTTCAGTACAAGTGCTCTAAATTTTATGCTTTGAAGATTTTTGCAGAAAGATGTTAAAATTTAGTTTTGCTCAAAACTTTTTATGGGAAGTATCATGTTTGAAAATGGGTTAATATAGTTGTGGCGACTCGTTCTGTTCCTCAATTTAAATAAATGCATTTACTGTCTCTTTAAATATTCTTGCAGTGGTTCCTTGAACATGCCTATGACCATTAAAAAAAAAAAAAGGAGGGAGAGAGAGGGAAAGCTTGAAGTCATTCCCACAAACACAAGCAGTGTGGGGGGTAGGGGGGAAGTTCCCAGGCTTTCTGAATTATACAGCAGCAGCGTCCTGTAGTTTACACCTGCTGGGGGAGAGGGAAGGAGGAGCTGCTGAGTTCAGACGACGGCTTTAGCTGGAGGAGCAACAACAAGTTCCCAGCATCTGCATTTTTTTTTCTCTTTTCAGTTTTATTTTCCCTCCAGAGTTGGGCCTGTTTTTTTTTTTGTTTCGAGGATGCAACTGCACGCCTTGTGTTTGCTGTGGGCTCCTTGTGTGTTTTTTCTGCAAGGCAGGTACTGTAACATTATTTTATTACATCACATCCTGAAGTCAGCTTGTTGATGGCAGTTTTAGAGAGAGATGAGTTTCCGTACACCCTTACAAAAATTAAGTCAATTATATGTGACTCGCTGAATACAGTGATAGTTCCTTCTTGATAAGAGAGTCAGACAGAGTACGAGTGTGCACTCAATATAGATTTAAGTCTAAATTCTGTATTTGCATGACAACAATTAAGCAACTGAATATTAGCTGAAATATGAAATGCATCATACTGTATTTGAATATCATGGCATGATGAGAATCATCGCGACCCAAAAATGTTGCCATCTTGAAAGTCAAACATGCACGTGGTGCCAAATGTGTCAATGCGGTCGTCGCCCTGCAGGTCAGTCCTGTGTAAGGACATGAAGTTACCCGGCGGTGCATCCAGACCGCCCTCGCCATCTGACTTTCTGGACAAGCTGATGGGTCGCACATCTGGCTACGACGCTCGCATCCGACCCAACTTCAAAGGTAACGCCGGATGCGCTGGGAGTTACCTCCCTGTCGTGACAGGTGTGAGGAAGCTTTGCCGCTCAATTTGTCCGACAATGTGGGCGTTGACGCGGTACAAATCCCTGACAGATGGGTCAAGGGGGACCAGAGATGCTGCAGGCTGGGATGCTTCCCACACGAGCCCGATGTGTGTTTTTTTTTTTTTTTTGTCACTATTACTGTTGACCCACACCCTTGGGTTGTGATATTTTTACACATCCTTCAGATCCTTTTAATTTGAAAAGCACAGCAGTGCCTGTGTTGTTACCCCACAGGCCCATTTAAGTCCAATCCTGATCTCAAGCTCTAAATGAAGCCAGAAGATTCTCTCTGACACACTTTACCCCACACAAGTCTCCAGGGTTGATTTTCATATATATTTCATATCATATTTGATACCTCTCTCCACTCTGTCGTCAGTGCATGCTGAGCAAAATCCCAACTGATTATCTATAAATACACTAATGTTACGAAAGTAGAATCAATAAATTATCACCTCTGGGGAAGTGAGGCACTTAAATATTTCATGTTTAGTGGTCAACATATGGGCTACGCGAATGGGAGTGTACTAGAATTCCTGGAGGGATCTGTTTATTAAATGCGTTGTCATATTAGAGAAATAAGGCAGTGTTTGTGACCACGTTGTGTAACATTACGCACCCTTTTAGGACCTCCTGTGAACGTCACCTGCAACATCTTCATCAACAGCTTCGGCTCCATCACTGAAACCACCATGGTGAGTTTCCAACACGATCTTCCCGAGCATAAGAGCATCTGCATCATCTGATGCAAGTGCTGTATCGCTATTTCTACCTTAAAAAAAAAGTTCCGTTTTGATTGACACTATGGAGCAGTCTTTGTTTTACAATGTTTATTGTAGTTGTAGTTTGCTGTTATGTATCATTTCCCTGCACTAGTTTGACTTTCTAATTTCCAAATTATGCATTTGTGAATTTGCCTATTCAGTAGTCGCCGTAAATAGTATTGCTTTTGCTTTTTTTTTTTTTTTTTTTTTTAAACCTGGTGTGTCATTTTCACTATTTTGGTCAATTTCATAACGTTAGGGTGTCAATTTCACTTTGCTCCTGTGACGCACATATAGCTTGGGTTCACTGGAATTTTCTTTTCCCTATTTAACTACAGTATAAGAATGTGACTTAATATCTGATTACAGTTTAAAATACATACATAAATATTAACATCGTAATTAAAACATGATTGTGTAATAGTCATCTGACTGCACCAATCTGGAAAAAAGAGCTAATGTAATGTTTTTTTTTTTTTTGGTTTTGTTTTTAGAACAACAGTATTTCAATACATAATAAACTTTCAGATATCAATTCATGAATATTCTTTGACTGGAAACACCATCAATAAAATGTAAAATCTCAAATGGAGTTTCCATATCAAGGTTTTTAAAATGGCTCCCAAAAAAGAACCCTCCCTTATTTATGAGGCCTGAACACTTTCTGAGGCGTTTTATTTATTCACATTTAGAGATAGTGAGACTCATGTATTTTCTAAAATACTTAAAAGGCGGCCTTGTTAAATATTAATTGCCATAATTGAAAGTGGAGTTTGCTGCTGTTTTAGATGATGAGCACACAAGCTTGTAAGTGTCTGGATTTTTTACAGCCTTTTCATTTTGGCCTTACCTACTCACCTGTTTACAGACGGCAGAATGACTTGTTTCTAAATGCATACTTTTTTTAAAATCACAGTCTGGAGTGTTGTGAGTCACGCCTGGATGACTGATAGGCGGGCACATATGTGTTTTTTATTTGTAAATAATGTGGGCCATCTTCAGGCCGCTTAAAAATTAAAAAAAAAATTTGATTAGAATTGTTATTCAAACCTCTAACTAGTCCACGTATCAAAATGATTGCAGGACTACCGGCTAAACGTATTTCTGCGCCAGCAGTGGAACGACCCTCGACTGGCATACAGAGAGTACCCGGATGACTCGCTGGACCTGGACCCGTCCATGTTGGACTCCATTTGGAAGCCCGACTTGTTCTTTGCTAATGAAAAGGGAGCGAACTTCCATGATGTCACCACTGACAATACACTGCTCCGAATATTCCAGAATGGAAATGTCCTCTACAGCATCAGGTAATCCACATCACATTTTGCATCTGACTAACAAATGACATTTCCTAAAGTACTTTGTAAGTTAACTGTGTTTTATATCTAATACATAAATGATTTTTGGATGGAATGAAGTTAAATTGGAGACCTGATAGTCTCTCATGGAATTTTATGTGCTGGTTTGGAATCCCTGAGATAAGCAGTATCGAAAATAGACGAATGAATGGATGGATAATGCCTCTTGGACAGCGTCAATCAAAACTGGACTTTTTTTTTTTTCAGCTCTCGTACTGGAGCTTATTAGATTCCATTTCTCAAGAATGGGGGAAAATTCATAAATCTGTATCCATGAATATATGCACTTCTACAACAGCTGGTTTTAATATCTGGCCTCATATTTTTTTTCCACTCCAGTTCAGCTGAGTTGTAATTGGTGTCCGGCTAATCCTGTGAACATGTTCATGGTAAACAATAGCTGCAGGCTACATGCATTCCCGCCGCTAGAGTGACACCAAAGCAGCGTGGCGTAATAATCAGGAAACACAGTATAAGTAGATGGTCAGAAATATGAAGCCTTGATTACATTTCGACAAACATATATACAGTAATATAGCAAATGCAGCTGAAAATCTGGTGACAAAAAAATAAATAAATATAGGGACTACTGTACAATTCACCTGGCTAAAAGTTGTAAAACCAAATAAGGCTGCAGTTTGCCAGTTGGTACTACTTTACAATAATGGTAACCTTAAAAAACACTATCATGGGCCACTGCCCCTAATGCTGAATTAATTGCCACTGGTAAAGCCATTGCTCAGACCTAAAAAAAAAAAATGGAATGATTAAAATGCAGTGTGCCATCTATGTCCTCCAGGCTGACATTAACCCTCTCGTGCCCCATGGATCTAAAGAACTTCCCCATGGACAGCCAGACGTGTATCATGCAGCTGGAGAGCTGTGAGTGACTCTCATTTAAAAGCTGGCTGACGGCATCGCATTGAATTCCGCAAAACAAGCTTCTTTCTCTCGTCTAGTTGGCTACACTATGAATGATCTCATCTTTGAATGGCTGGACGTGGGCGCTGTGCAGGTGGCCGACGACCTGGTGCTCCCTCAGTTTGTGCTAAAAGAGGAGCAAGGCCTCGGCTATTGTACCAAGCATTACAACACAGGTAAAACAACATATAGGACGACTCCCATCCAGCACCTTCGATGGCCTGTGTCACTCTACTTCTAATGAGCCCGTTAGTTGGTACCTGTATCTCCTCCTGTGGTTAGGTAAATTCACCTGCATTGAGGTCAAATTCTACCTGGAGCGCCAGATGGGCTACTACTTGATCCAGATGTACATCCCCAGCTTGCTCACTGTCATCCTTTCCTGGGTGTCCTTCTGGATTAACATGGATGCAGCTCCAGCCAGGGTAGGCCTGGGCATCACCACGGTGCTCACGATGACGACGCAGAGCTCCGGCTCCAGAGCGTCCCTGCCAAAGGTTGGACTCCCTTGCTTTGTGACCCGTAGTCCCAAGGAACCATATTTGATTTGAAGTGCCTAGCAGTTTCATACCAAAATGATCTGGTAAAAACGTGGCTGTGGACTAACTAATAAGTGAGGAGCTATGACCGTATTGGCCCGAATATAAGACGGCCCTGATTATAAGACGACCCCCTCTTTTTCAAGACTCAAATTTGAAAATAGACTTTTTGAACACCAAATTAATTTTTATACGGAAAATAATTACAGTACATCTGAAACAAATGATTATAACAATATTTTTGAGAGAAAAAGCATGTTATTTTGCCTCATTCAAATCTTAATATCTGAACATTTAAATATGTAAACTAAAGTGCAATCACATTCGTAAATGAATGGCTTCGGGTTTTTGAAATGTAAATTACATCATAACTTCTCCTCAGCTGCTGGTTAACCTGGCCGATCTTCGACCCACTTTTCTCCAAATTGTCGCTACGTTTCTCCATTTTCTGTTATCTCTTCTATTATTTTCTTCTCTTTTCTTTCTTACCGCTATTTTTTATTTTTCTTCTTTGTGCTATTGATATTTTTATTTTTATTCTTCATGACAGGGGTTCACTTTGGCCTGGGGAGTCAAGTTCAGCATTCGCTTCAATGATATCTGGCGCCATCTAGCGTCGTGAATGAGTATAATGTCTAGACCCCGAATATAAGACGACCCCCACTTTTTCAGTCTTATTTCAATGCAAAAAACATCGTCTTATATTCGGGCCAATACGGTACTTGTAGTGTGAAAATTGTAAAGACAGTTACCTTCCCTAAAGTGAACGTACCGCAGTCAAGATATAATATATGCTGTGGCAATGCATACGGAGAGAAAAGGATGCGATGAGGAAGGTCGTTTGTGGCTTTTGAGGTTTGCAGCTTGTGGTTGCATTTTGTGGAGGCGACATGTCAGAACGTGGTGTTCAAGTATAAATCAACAATGTGGCAAGAGGAAAATGACTGCTTCTTCTCCACCCATTAGCCCAGTGTCATATAGACTCTTTGGATTAATGTGTCATGTCACTATGTCACTAAAGCATGCGCTATATCGTCTTTTCCTCAGGCGAGATGATACAACATGTGTGTTTACTTAGGAAAGCTCCGCCCTAAGTGAAATGCCTGCGAGGTGCCAGTGGTAGCCATGATGCGAGTTGCTTGGATTTCTCTTAAGCTTGAGGAAACATGGGGCCCTATCCCATAATTCCACGCGCCCTTTGATTCAATTACAGTATTTATTTCACACTCAGCTAAATAGTGTAAAATACTCCCATAGTAACAATACAGCAACTTATAAATGTGGATGTAAAATAACACGACGCAAAAATAAAATAAAAATAAATAAAATAAAATAAAATAAAATCAAATAAAATAAATAAATAAATAAATTTTGGTCCCATATTGAGAAATTTCTGTTTTTGCAGGTGTCCTACGTGAAAGCCATTGACATCTGGATGGCGGTGTGCCTCCTCTTTGTGTTCGCCGCACTCTTGGAGTACGCAGCCGTTAATTTTGTTTCCCGGCAGCACAAGGAGTTCTTCAGACTTAGGAAGAAGCTCAGAGAGCAAGAGCGGCAACGGACTGTGAGTGCAAGCCACCCACTCAGGCGCAGCCCCTAGGGCAGCTGTCACCTGCAATTCCCTCTGCCCGGCGATGCACGGGCTCCACATCTCAGCTGCATGTTGCGCGGCCAACAGCGTTGACCTGTAATTAATTCAAGCCGTCACCCTTTTCCACTCTCGGCTGCGCACACCTTAACATCTTGCTAGCTCACCTTGACTCTCATGAGGAAAAAAAAAAGGGGTGACAGAATGTGCTTTGGTCCTCTTGAATGAAAAGCATTCCTCGAGAGAAGCGGCACTGTGAGACCAAAAACACGATTCATGACAGTGTTCAATATTTATATCGCAATCCTCAAAGCATTTGCATGAGTCATTTGCATTTATTTATCATGATGACAACGCAACGCTTCCGATTACTTTTCCTTCACGACTCTGCTAATGGACACAAATATACAGTTGGATGATTCCATGAACACTGTGTTGTGCTCTCTCTCTCTCTCCCTCTCTCTCTTCCATTAGCAGGGAAGTGGAGAGAGTAAGACGAAAGGCAACATGTCAGGCAATGACGCGGCTCACGGGAGCGCAGGGCAACAGTGCAGTGCCTGCGCTCGGGTATGTGCCGCCGCCTGCTTCGCTTGAAAACAACAAGCTGCAAAGAAAACACAACACACAATTCTCCAAGTCAGTCTTTTCTCCCTTTCAGGAGGAGGAGCTAGCACGCCAGGGTTTACTCTTCCACACTTTTGGTCTTGGACTTGCCAGTGCTCCAGAAATGGATGCAACTCCGGTCTTTGCCGATCTACCTCCTGGCTTGGGCTACTATGACATAAGGCGGCGCTTTGTGGACCGAGCCAAGAAGATTGACACCATCTCTCGCGCCGTATTCCCCATGAGCTTCCTTATGTTTAATGTCCTCTACTGGCTCACGTACAAGGTCCTACGGCATGAAGACGTCCAATTAAAACTCTGAGCTCACAAGAAGGATCATAGGGACACTGGACAGTGTCACTCAAGCATTAACAGGCCTCAGCTGACCCGTGCAATGTGTAGTGACTGCATGTCAGCTGCTGTTAACATACTACACCACTAAGGTTCTTTTAATTAATTATTATTATTATTTATACTTTGAATCCTCTACTTCAAAATAAATGCACTTCTTGTTTGCACGCATGAGCCATCCTGTATAGCACACACTGGTTAGCGCCTCGAGTACAGTCAAGTCATTTTTGAGGATTACTTGTCTTAACTTCACCAGCATTTGGACAACTGCATGCTTGTGATTCCTAATTCTCAGGCTGTGGGGTCATTTTCACATTCCACCGACCACTTTGCAGTGCAGCAGCACAATCTAATGAATCACAAATTCTGCTCTTATCACACGTTTGTTAAGTTTTCTTTCAAATTCCAAAGATTTATTGTATAATTTTTTTTGTATTTTATTTTCAAATAAAACTCTCTCGGCCATACACCTCAAAGCATCTCACTATAATTTGTACTGTATAAGTGTATATGTGATAAATTAAGAGTGATTTAATTTCAATTTTACAGTAATTTATTTTTGCGATTGTAGTTCACACATCTTAACACTGCACTGCATTAAACAAAGAGTTGTTTCTACTATTTGAAGTACTGTATTATTATTGTTATAAATTTATTGGATTAGAAACAGCCCTCAGGAAGATTAGGTACAGCAAACAGTATAAACTACCAGCATAATTGAAAAGTAATACTTCTTTGACAGATGTTGATAATAACACAGCAGGCTTTTCAACTCTGCTGAAAACAACAGAGGATATGTTTTATTTAGTCATACAGTTCGCTCATCTCACAATATGTGTCTTCGCTTTTTTCCCCTATTCCTTGCAATGGGAGCGGCTCATATTGTTTTGTAATGTATTTCAATAAATGCCATTCTGTCGAGACCTAATGACGTATTTATTATTTGTCCGTCTAGTGTTTATATGCGTGCGTATCAAATTTTATAAAGATAGATGATAAATCTTTTTTTTCCTTGTTTTTTTTGGAGTTTATATGTTGGAGCCTCCTTGCCTGTATGACCAGAAGATGGCACTGTTGTTCCTCGTATTATTTATTGTGCACGTTCAAAACGCATTTAACCGTTAGAACTTCAGCGAACCAGTGAAAATTTTCTAGATTGGCTGGTTCGTGGCACACTCTAAATTGTCCCCAGGTCTAATTGTGAGCGCGTATGGTTGTTCGTCTTTGTGTACCCCGCGATTAGCTGGCAACAAGTTCAGAGTGTACCCCGACTCCTGCCCAAAAACATCTGAGATTGGCACACCCACGACCGTCGTGAGGATAAACAGAAAATGGATGGATGGGTCACGGGTGTGCTGGAACCGATCCCAGCTGTTTTCGGGCAGTAGGCGGGGTAAACCCTGAACTGGTTGCCAGCCAATCGCAGTTTTCAACTCTTACCATTAGTTAATCTAATCTAATGATTTTTTTTTCTTCTCGATGCAAGTTAATAAAAGAAGGGAAACTATTTTTCCAAGTTATCAAAATATTGGATATAACTGACAGTTCAAATTTTTACTTGTGCACTCGAGTACGTTTGAGAGTCTGTAGTATTTTCCTGTAAGACGAATTCTACTTTTATCGTTTTTTTGTTTTGTTTTGTCACACAATTCTATGTAGGTGTATTATGGAAAGTGTGAGTACTTTTGCCACCGCTGTTAATAAAATATGGCCAAGTATAGACTGTAGTTTCATTCTGTGAAAAAAAAAGTGGGGCTGTTGTAATCTGCGGGACCCTCCACGAAACGTGTTGGAGACGTGGCAGCGCCTCCGGTCTAATGATTTGAGTTCAAACTGCAACTCCACCCGACATAAATAATATCACCGATGGATTCTCTTCAAATTCCTAACGTGTCTTCAAACCTGTGATAATGTCTGCTGCATAATTAACTCGACGTGGACTCTTGTAAGGGCGACAAACCATTTTTAGACGTTTACTGCTGACGTTTACAGTCTTCAAATAGCTTCCGTTTCGCTCTGGCAGTGATTGGACTGGTCTGCACTTTTTTTGTCTCGCTTTCCACCGGCTAACTGGCGTAAAGCGCCCGTTGAACAAGTTGCACATTCTCCACTTCAATGGAGGCGCAGCCCAAAGATCGGGCACGGGACAGTCGAAATCAGAACCGCGGAGACGACGCCAGCCCTCCTCGGTGGACCTCTTGCCGAAAACATGATCAGAGCCACTTCCACCAGCGACAGCATCAGGAAACGAACGCGAAGAAAACAGGTTTGGACATCCGTAAAAGTTAGCTAGCACTCGCTAGCTTTAGCCAGCTAATGTCAACTAGCCACTACCGGGCGCGTCCTAAACAGCCTTCTAGCAAACGTGATTTAAAAGTTAACCGACGCTTCTTGTTTTACGGTACAGTATTTCGCGTCGTATGTGAAGGGTGGTTTATTGATTAAAACCACACACACAAAAAAAAAGCCGCTATCTCTGAAGACGCGGTTGGATGTCTAGCTCACTGGCTAGCTGACATTGCGTGACAGTTGTGGCTGGCGGTGGTTTGACATATCGGGAATTGACCTTGTGCGCCGTTCCCCTCACCCACTTTTCCCCCTACAGTACACGGAGAGCCTTCGAGGTCGTCTCAAGCTATTAACTTTTATGTACACGCTAAGAAGAGCGGTCGCCGTGGTCGTGTAAGGGAGTTAATTTCAGCACGCTTGTGCTGTCGTCCCGTTTAAGGAAAGGAGCCGGCTCCACTGGAATGTTCGGAACTGCCATTTCCTGTCGGCCATGTTAGGGCACAAATGACAGGCTAATGCTCGAATTAGCCGCGTAGTAAAGTTAATTTTTTTAATACTGCAACGTCATGCTCCCACCGTGACATATTTGAGTATCTGTTTTCCTTTATGGGTTTGTTTAGTTTACGGGGCCAGGCAATGACTCGTTTAGGCCTGGTATAAGCCGACCTGCTAGCTAGTTGACGTTAGCTCGTGGTAAGCAGATTTGACAGGCCTGTTGCAGTCACCGAAAAACTCCCTTAGCAGTTAGATCAAAGTACACGTTTAAAAGTGTCATACGAGTTACACGTCACTACATATTTGTATGTCAACTCTGCTTTGAACGTGAAGTCCTTAGTTGGTCTTGAGCAGCTTATATAGTACTACTAGGCTAGGCTAGATATGGGTTTTAATTGTTTTGAATCGCATCTTTTACACCGGTCAAACACACATTTTTAAAAAATGATATATTCAGGCCACTTTGAAGAATCCGTTTGACAGATGTGTTCTGCTGCATATCAGATTGCTGTAATGCAACACACTGAGCTCATCCTCAGATGTGTCAGTCATGTATTTTTGGGTGAAGGTTCATGTTTAAGCCAGCAGTGGCATGAGTTGGCCTTCTGTTGAGTTGAAGCCATGATGAGCAGTGTTTGTGAACTTTGACCTCTGCTGCAGGCAATAACAGAAAGGTTGGCTTTTGAAGGAGCAGATCACCAAAGTGCTCTTTGAGGGCTTTGTTGTTCTGTGCAGTTAGAATGGATTTCATATTGACACCTTGTGTTTTTGCATGTTGTTCTAGGTCAAAGGTAAGAAAAATGAGGAACTATGACAAATTTAGATGAGTGGGCAAGTTCAAAGTGATTAACATGAAATCGTGGGTGCGGCATTTCACTTCACTGTACTATAAAATACCTGAAAAAGCATTTGACATAAACCTCTAGATTCATTTTATGAACAAGTTTATTTCTGTCTCACTTCCAGGCAACAAAAAAGTAATCAGTGGCGAAGAAGAGGTGGAGAAGGGTACGCGTTTGTTTGCTGCTGTTGGTATGACACATCCTCCCAACAGCAATGGAAACAGACACACAAGTAACATAAATGTGAAGCAGAAGTCAATGCAACGCCTGCACTCAACAGCTCCAAAAGCGAACATGAAAGGACCAGACTACAAAAAGATTGTGGACCTTAAAAATGATAAGGTTGTTGACTCGAGTTATCACGAGGATAAGAAAGACTGTGCGATGCTACAAAATGGTGTCACACACTGCGGCGTGATTATAAATGGCTACTCGAGCAAGGACAATGATGGCAGCGGATCCGAGGGTGGATATACCACGCCAAAGAAACGCAAGGCCAGATGTAACAACCTGAAGAACACTGACAATGCAATGAGAGAAAATGACATGCAGCAGGGAAACACTACACAGGAGCCTGCAGCCTTTAATATTGAGGCGACCGAGAAGGGAGAGACTTGTCGACTTGACTGCTTGAAAGCCACACATAAAGGGGAGACTCAGTCAGCGCCAAGACGGACTGCGGTCTCTGAGGCCTCAGTGGGGGAACTTCAGAGGAAGAACTCTGATGGGAAAGCTGTTGGTAAAAAGACTGAGGAGCGGCACAAAGCCAAGGTTCGCTCACCTTCAAAAGAGGACTCGTGGACTTTGTTCAAGCCCCCTCCGGTGTTTCCTGTGGACAATAGCAGTGCTAAAATAGTTCCCAAGATCAGTTATGCAAGTAAAGTCAAAGAGAACCTCAACAAAGTAGCTCAAGGTGGAGCAGAAGCTCTGCCTCCAACTGTAAGACTCTCACAGGTCCCAATGTCTGCTATGAAAACCATCACGTCAGCTAGCTTTACTAACGGCTCTGTTTCTGCTAGTGGAAACGGCTGCCCATCAGTGGGTACTTTCTTTGCTCCTGCTGCTCCAGGAAGTGGCGACAATGTAGCATCTCCGTTTGAAAGTAATCGTAGCTCTACAAATAGCCCCATTGAAGAAGAGGTGTATGAACTGCGAAAGTGTTCCCTCTTAATTTACCCTTTAAATATGCAACCCGCGCTCCCCAGTGCCCGTCACCTCACCCCGCCGGCTGCTCAGACAAATCAGAAAGCCTTGGGAGAAATCTTCCACAATAAATGGGGGCTTTCGTTCATTAATGAGCCCAACTTGGGGCCAGAAGGGGGTAGTGGGCCGGCGCTGGCAGAGGACAACCCATCTGTGGGCCAGTGTCAGGCCAAAGCTGGCCAGCCGTGCTTTGAGGATGGCCCTTTCTTCTTGGAGCCTGGCACTTTGGCTCAAGATGCAGTGAAAAGGACTGTAATTATTTCGCCAGCTTCTTCTCATCTTTGTGTCCCGGCCAAGGAGGAGAACGGAGAAAAGACGGGCGTAGATTCTCCCTGTAAGGACAATGGTGCTAAGCCTGTACTGGGTCACTCAACCACGGTGTTGTTTGGCAAGTCTAAAGAACAAGCCTTGTCTAAAGATGTCTGCAGGAGGCGGAGCTGGGGGTCCTTCGACGTCAAAGCTGCTGTCACTTATCACAGTAAAGGTATAAGACTCAAATGATTTGTGTAATCGTAAAATGCTAGTTTGCAGTGAAATTGTCTGTGTCTAAGCTTAGCAAACACCTGTCAGCTTTCAAGAGCTTTTTCTGCTTAATCGAACTGATAAACTTGATATTAAGTATGCCTCATGCCTGTTGACATTCACTGATGTTTTTTTTTTTCTTCCTCCACAGAAATGGAATACGTTTTCAGCTTGCAAAAACAATGTAAGTGACATTTTTGAGTGTTTGTCAGTTTGGTTTTGACAGGGAAAGAAATCTGAAGCGTCCAAAAAAAAACAACAAAATTCCATAGCCACAGAGACTAAAACAATTTCCTGAAAATAGTTAACATTTTATATCTAGGGCCAAGAGTAAGGGTGAACAATGTTGACTAAAGTATTGAGCTGTGCCCTTCTTATAGATTGGATTCATACTGCATTGGTCAAGTGAGACAGTTCAGAATCTTTTGCTCTCTGATTCATGGCAACGTAAATAGAAAAAAAAGACTGCATGAAATGGGATATCGTCAGATTGGAATCGGGGCTCTTCCAAACGTGAATATAAATCCAATGCATATTGGATAAGTGCCAGCGCGAGCGAAAGCTGAA